GTCTACTACAGAAAGATACATACAGAAGTGGAATGCAACGAATTCATATACAAATATAAATAGTTCAGGATGATGTAAACAATCGTATCTTCTGTAAGTGGGTTGGCATAAAATCACGTACCATGTAAACGTTCTTTCTTTATAGATTAAGAATGTTCATCATCGACTTTCTTGTGCGCACAAAAAGGGCATAATGTACAATTGTTAAATTACAATGTATAATACAGAATTCATATAATAAATTGCTCTATTTTAAACATCTATCTAAAAACCGTACTTTTTTTTTTAACAAAAAAAGAATTTATATTCATTATCAATATGAGACAACACAAAGTTAGTAAGAAGAAACTGATGTTCTTCTAAATAATAAAAAATGAACAAAGCTAGAAAAGTATAGTGTACAAAAAAGATAGAGTGGCCGATCATAACTACAATGTACAAATTATTTAGACAAATTTTGAAATCTATACAATACAATGGCGCAATTCAGTGAAATGTTATATTTAAGTAGTTATTCATGCGGTACTACTAAAGCAGGATTAATACACAGTCAGTCAGTCAGTCACAACGTAGGACCAGGTACATATATGCATCGGTCCAAGTTGCCATACCGCATTAGCACAACATGGTGAACACCAAATTCATAGAAACAACCAACTCAATGGTGTAATATATAGAGGAAAGATTGCATATAAGGATTTAGTACAGGAAGAAAGATTTAGTTCGTAGAAAGAAAGATATGAAGCATTTTAATCTCTTAGTTTAAAGGAAGACAGAGAGTGGTGTATACACCGACGCTATTGTGATCGATTCTGAACCATGTCACCAAGTCTCCAACCACTGGTTACGATAGTCACGCGGACCCCAACCAAGTAGTCTGCATCTACCAACATGGCCGCCCTTAACTTTCTTCCAACCATCACCAACACCGGTTAGCATTGCGCGTCGTGGTAATCGGTGTTCAGGCATACGCAACACGTGGCCCAACCATCTCAGTCGATCAAGATTCATAACCTCATCAACTGATTTACCATCATTCCCTAATACCCTGCGTCTAACCTCACTATTGCTTACCCAGTGATCCCTGCAGATGCGAGCAATATTTCTAAGGCATCTGTGGTCAAATATTTGTGGCTTACGAGTATCTTCCACTCTTAGTGACCACGTTTCGCAGCCGTATAATAGAACAGAACGAACTGCCGCCCAGTATACTCGTCCCTTAATTGATAGACGGATATTTCACCTTCGCGATAGGTGACGTAAGTTGGCAAAAGCCAAACGAGCTTTCCGAATCCGTGCCGAGATTTCGTCAGACACCAACCCATCAGGGCTGATCAGACTTCCAAGATAAGTGAAGTTTTCAACGCGTTCGACTACTTCACTCCCTATCCTTAGTTCAGGTGTTGACGCATACCATCCTGAAGCAACAACTTGCATTTAGAGGAAGAGAAGCGCATTCCAAACATTGTTGCTCAGTGCTATCAAAACACTGCATTTCATCAGCGTCTTCACCAAACAGGACTATGTCATCTGCGTATCCTAAGTCGATAAGTGGACCTCCTGGAAGGAGCATTAATACACAGTAATCACCAAAGTAGTGAGTCAACAAGTTCTACTAACTAGTTAAGTTAATTAAGCATTAAAAATTTAATTTACCAGTAATTTTTATCGAAGACAACATAAGAAATATCAAAGATTGATGCAAGTGTTAGGAAATAGTGAAATATACCATAGTGTTTGCAATACGTTTGATAGAGTTGAACATACGAAACATTGAGTTACGATCACCCTGAAAAATTTAAATCTAATTCTGTTGAACTATACGCAGAATTGAATTCAATAAATTGATCAAAAGCCTGTCAATTAATAAAAATATTGTATGAAAACTGGTAACTACAATGTGAAAAAAAACTATAACAGGATCTCGATCGGTTTCTATTTTAAGTCACGTCTGATAACGTCTCAACACAACGAGTTGCATTAGATATACAACCATAACCGAGGGGTCTCAATGGACTGACATGCCAATTCTATAGCTTCGTTTCACATCACGGTGCGATTTTAAAAACCACCTCTCCGCTCTTCCCACCCAGTTCAAGAGTCAGTAAATATTTCACTATTAGAAAGCTGCTGAGATCACATTCGTAAAATATATTAAAGGATAGTGATAATAACTGAATTATTGTCAATGAACCCCTGGACATTACAAATATGATGCTGTTACTGAGCGTCAGATTCATCTAACATTCTGAACTCGAAAAAGTAAGGTTTAGCAAACAATAAGGAAAACTGCCCCTTCATGGATGCGTTGTGAACCCGACATTTTACATCACGATGGTACCAAAGATAGGGTAGGGGAACAATGTACGAACGATCGTCAATATTGCTGTATTTTCTCATAGCCAACGTAAATAAGACATGAAATTCGGTTAATCATTATCGTTCTATTTTCGATATTCACTCAGTTTAGCGTTTACTATTGTTCGAGTGGATTGGGTCTAAGAATATCATCATAATCATTATCTATAGAAACCATTTTAGTCTACTATTAATTAATGGAGTTGTTCTTCTGGATGGTACCGTAACAGTTTTCGATACACATCGATCCCTCTTGAAAAAAGTTTTGTGAAAATCGGAAATTTACAAATGATAGAAGGGTTTATTTTCTCCGCACTATAGACTCATTCTTTGAAATTATAAGGCGAGAAACTAAACAACAAAAATAACATCTGTTTCGATATTATTAGGCAAAAAATCCTCTATTTTTGAGTAAATTGATTGGTTTAATAAGAAAACTATAGACTAATAATTAAAATGTCGACTGTTTGGTATTAAGAATAACATTTTGCTAAAAAAAAAGTGATTATGAACTCAACAGTTTTAACAGATGATTAAATAAATAATGAGAACAAGTAAGAATTCAAATTACGCAAACTTATTATATGAGAATGAGAGACATTATCTCTCTAAACAGTAGGCAGGTATACAGGAATTTTGGATTTACAAGTTAACTATGGAATTCATATTTAGTCCCAGAAAGGTAATTGCTAAGACATTATAAAGCGAAGCATAAATAATATTCTTATCTGTAGATTGAAAAAAGGAATAAACAAGGTGTTATTCTTAAATATTATTGAACAATATTAAAGTACGTGATGATATTGTTAGAATAAACAAATAAGCAGTCCATTATAATCCATGCATCTGAAATTTTATTAATGTTCAGAGAAAATGAAATGACAAAAAAAGATGCGAATAGAACTAATTATATGTGCTTTAGTGAAACAGTTAAGAAACTTGTTACATGAAATGTTTTCATAGGTTAGCTTTAACATTTCACATGTTGTGACTGTAGTCGTAAGACAACCAATGCGACAGAACTTCTAACTGTCAAAGATACAGTTTTATTTTAAGTATTAACTATTGTTAATTTAATTTTTAATGGTTTGCATTCGTCAGCTGGAAGTAATGTTCTTCAATTATTTGTAGTGAAAACATGATCATTCGGTCTAATATTAATATTAATAATTCAATCTTACAATATTTCCACACTAAAAACTAAATATTGATAGGAAACAATAAATTAGAACAATACTGTAGTATTCATATCTGATGATGTAAATTCAAAAGAAACCAAGTTTTCGTGAAGCAATACAAGCGTACAGGTTCTTACACAAAAGCCGCTTAATATCCGCTCTTTGATATTTCTTCAAAATTATGATAGACTTATCATAAAAATCCTCAAAAAAGCGGAAAATTTAATATAAAACTTATGAAACAGTATGATTTCGGTGCACGAAATACTAATTAAATATGAACATACAAAATATACACATGTCGGACTGAGTATCTTTAGATTAAGCATTCAACCGACGCAATAACACTTTGGTTGTAAACTGAGTGCCCAACAAACAAAATAACGTTGTGAAACAGGTATATTACTACAGATGTTTTCAGCAAAGTACGTTTTCGTATCCGTACAAAAGCAGACAAACAATCTGGTGAAATTTAACATTTAAACAAAATCATCCCATTCAAAAGAGCGAGAAAAATGGAAATTCAAAATATAAATGAAACTCTCATTTATGTCGTGTAAATGATTGGGTTATTTAAAGATACTTTATATCAAAAATATTGAAACCAACTAGAAAAATGACGATTATAGAAGGGATTTATACTATATCCTTCAAATTACATATTCGATTTTTACCAGTAATACTTTATGAATTTCGACATACGGTTTACATCAAGTTAAATTACCGATATCAGCCAATTAAACAAACATCAGATGGTGAATTTGAAATGTCTCAACTACAATCTACCTGAAATCGATACCCTATGCTTTTAAACCAATAATCACGATGTGCTAAGAAGATAGTCTTAAGACAAATACTTAAGGAATTTTCGATTATCAGAGAACTTCGACCACTTAAAATATTTTTTGATTCCGGGATTTTTCTTAATACAAGTCAGCACCAAAAATTATAAATTAATTACCGTAGTTGAATAATCCGATGACAATTATAGATGTTTATCACAAACAACGGACATATTATAGTGTTATTAACACATCATACAAGCACTGATTCTGCCTTTGATTCATCACCCGGACTCACTTATATTTTCTACATTCAGACAACTACTGGTATACAAACAGCAAACTAGCTAATGAGTCACTTAAGGTCACTTAGTGAACTCTCTCCCTTGCAAATAATTATACAAAGATAAGATTGGCTTAGTTTTATGACCTTGAGTGTAAAAAACACCAGTCAACAACAAAGGTAGTCAAGACGAAACAATAAAAGTTGAAGCAGTTCAAAATCTCAGTAAACACTATGAAACCAAATGTCTGAATATCAAAAACAATAGAGTTAAGACAATAGCAATTATACAATATTAACAGAAAGGGGTTTTTGTGGATATTATAGTAATTTGATAGTTGAGTTCATGAGTCAATTATACAACAAACAATTTATGATAGAGAAGTGATTCGAACTTACGACTAAGCATATAAGAGTTGGTTAGATTATTCTGATTGACACCTGATAGGACTTGTGAAAATCCACCGGCTGCTGCAACAGCTGCTGCTAAAACCTGTTGCTGTTGTTGTTGTGAATTATGCAGCTGTAATGCGAATGGATTTATCAAACCAGTAACTGCATTTGGTCCAATAGATTCTAATTCAGATACCAACGAACCAGAGAGTGGTGTAGCAGGAGGAGGTTCTGATGGTGGAGGTGGAATAATACCAGCACGAATAGAGTGAGCAAGCCTACATGCTGATCTTAAAGTCCCATGTGGATCAACACCACTGATTGTGGTAGCCCGAGTTAGACTCCCTGTCATACGCTGACGACGAGGCAATGTGCCTCCTGAAGAACCATACGCTGTCGATCGTGTATACCGACCTAGAGATGAGTCTCTCTGACGGTTGTTTAGTTGATACGTTTGACGACGGTGTCTACTACGAATGCCTACGTCGAAGTCATTTCCAGTATGGAATCCATCTTCTTCAATATCTGAACGTGAATTACCTTTATTCAAAGCAACTCGTTCGCCGTCTTCACTGTCTTCTTGGTCATCATTAACCGATCTGAGTAAAGGATTCGATGATAAATTATTTGAACCAGTAGATCCCATTTTAGGGACTTCACTTCTTGCTCGTTTTCTTGACCTTGATAAGGCAGACTGATCATTACAATTTTCATTTGGAACATGAGTTTCGGAGTTGGTATCTGTACTAACTGTAGGACTGCTAGAACGCGTATTTCCGTATGTTTTACGTCTCATTAATTGTGAATCGGTTAGTTGAGTACGGTATAATTCTCTAGATTTATTCTGACTATCATTTGAATGGTCTAAAATTAGGAAAGACGGATGTATATAAGTTCATTACAAATAACACAGAATAATAAAGCTTTACAATAGAAATCGTTTTATGCCCATCACAACGACATTTAATAAGGAATACAATATAAATTTAAGTTAATACAACAGGTAGCTTGGTTATGAAATGGACAATCAAACGCTTTGATTGTTGTTGGAAAACCTTCTCAATAAAATGTGCTGATGGTTTTTATTAATTGCTTGGAATACATCAAAAGTATTTTTATTTTAACGACTCCTTTTCTACATAGCTACAGATAAAATTTATTGCACTATAAATAGATATATCAAGATAATCTTATTTACTATATTCGTGACCGATAAATTAATATGAATTAAATGTCGATTCTCTAGAAATATAATCCAACCTTAAACCAATATGACTGAAAGTAGTATTCATAAGTATATCGTTAAGTATTAGTTCAAACAGGTATGTAGTTAAAAAATGGTTTTAGTTAAGGATTGATGTTAGCTGAAGAATCATTGAAAACGACGGAAGGCTAAACAGCGATTTTGACCTTGTCGCGGTTTCCTTGACGGTGAACACTCACGTACACACTGAGAGCCGAAACCAAGAACTGAGGTTGTCACTGAAAACACAATATTGTTATTTACTTCCTTCAAAATTAAAACTGGTCAAACGAATGTCGATATTACTTAGCAATTATTTTGAACAGCACGACCGATATCAAAAAGCAGACAGACTAAAGAGCACATTTAATATTGATTAGCTCATTCTTCATGAACAAGATATACTTGTATACACATTTTGAAGTACTACAAATAATTAATGACAGGTAACAGAGTTCTTCAATGAGTAGTTACGGCAAACGAAAAATCTGCTTCGCACAATAAAATCTATGGAAGTTTAGTCTCATGGATTTTAGCTTCAGATGACAAATTCGGTCCTTTATAACATGCATTATTCATTCTCTCAAGGCTAGACATTTAATTATCAACCACTGGCCCGTGGATTCACCATCAACATATTCAATTCCGGTATAAAAGTTAATCCTAAAATAAAACGGGGATTCTAAAGATTAGTTCGAAAACGAGAATGTGATTGACAAATGACATTACTTCTTACTATCTAATATTCTTCATCTGCTGGACAACAATAAAGAAAATCGTTTTCTAGTCAGTGTGACAATGCTTTCAGATCTATGTATAGAACTAAAAGGTGACAGCACACGAAAAAAGGACTTTCCCAAAGAAAGAGAGTATGTAAGGAAAAGGCAGAATTACCATATGATCAATGATAAGAATAAAACAATATGCAGTTTACAAACTCCGTCTATAGCTTTTCTAGAGTAACTGCTGGTTCCAAGCCCGAGTAGAAAGGATCTTGCTAAAACACGCTAAGCAGATTAAAATGCTGGTGGGCGACCTATGCTTTTTCACGAGGGGTAACATGCGTAAGTAGCGTTTTATAAGTGTGGTTGTTTGATACAGTAATAAAGACTTTTATCAATGGTCTAAATACCAAACCAATCACAAGGTTGAAGTGAAAGATACCTCATTTACTTCACTATTATGAATGGTTCAATGATATAATTAACTTTCCAAACATTATATATATACACATACAACTGAAAATTTAAGTAAAACCAGTAACTTTTCCAGCGATTTCTGAGTTGCTTTACTATAATATAAGGAAGATTATAAAAAGTCAGTTTGTGCAATGCAGTTTAGATTATAGTTATGTGATACTGAAAAAAAAGGGTGTATTAAGATAAAATATATTATTTATGTGTTATTCCATATCAAAATGCTTCGAACTAACGATAGACTGACTATATGAGTGTTCATTTCTGACTTTAGGAGTACACGAATCAGAAATGGATATGTGAAGATAGACAAGTTCTCAAGTATACATCAGCGATGAGCGTTAACAGCAAAAAGCGTATACCTACAGCTTCTTTATAATTGCCTTTAGTCATCCAAAACAGAATTTGTGAATAACATATGCTTCTATAGCTCACTTGGTTTCAGTATTTTCTATTTCGGACAGAACCTAAATTCACTTTTTATAGAAAGCATTTCAAAAAACCAAATAGTAAAATACTAATGTATAACAAGTAAAAAAATAGAAAAGGGAATAACTATTCAGTGAATCTTCTATGAATATGTCTATTTGTTTTATACCCAAAAACATCTTGTGTACATATTAATGTGCGCATGTTTTTAAATAAGTAATCAGAAAATGTAAAAGCAGGTGTTAACAATGTGCATGAATCATGGTTATCTGAGTGTATCGTGCAGTGAACCGAAGTTAAGATTTATAAAACTAATGGGAGGGAGATAATGAAGTTTACTTTTTAAGTGTAAATTATGAGTGTATGTGCGTAGCAGAATAGTCTAAATATGACGCAAGATAAACATGCACACCTGATTTACGTAATAATAAGTAAATGGTAAAATTTTGAAACGTAACTCTTGTACGAATATGAAATATAAAAAATAATGAAAATGAACGTCTAGATAAGTAGAACCAACGCTTTTTCAAAACAAACACCATACAGAAGAGTTTGTTTAGTGTTGAACTAACGTTACTGCAAATCTCAAAATTAGTCGAAAAAAAGGGAAACACCTAACAGGAAAGAGGCATACGTAGAATAAATGTACTACTGGGACCAATTTCGAAATATTCTATGTAAGACATTTAGATGCTGATTTGTAACCGTTAACTGACTAAGTCAAAAGACTAGGAACACTGGATTAAAGATTGACATAATTCATTCGGTAAATTTCTAGAAAACTAATAATGCTTCAAAGATACCTAAGATAAAATGTCTGGAATATAACACTAGCAGCTTTTACAGTCAATCCGAGTCATACTCAATGTAGAACGAGAAAATAAAGATTACTAGAATAAAAGGAAAATTTATTAAATGATTTATAAACTTAGGACCTAAAGAAATACAATAAGTGAATGCACCTATGCCATTGGGTACGATTTTGAACACCGAAAGCTTTCAACGGTTGATAACGCTAATCACCAGAACCCCAAACAAGTACCTACATAGTTCAGTCCCATAGTTAGTGACTTCATGTATTGATGCTATGTCACAGTTTTGCTGACACTAGTTTTCTTCCAACCTCCCCCTACATCAGCCTTCATCAAGCGTCTAGATAATTAATCTTTATGCTGATGTTTAAACGTTCTAATCATCTCAGTTGATAGATATTCACTACCTTACGAACATATTTTTCATCTTTACTTAACACCCTGCGCTAACTTCAGAATTGTTAACTTGATTGTCCCGATATACACGAGGAAAGTTTTGAAAAGATATATAATGGATTAATAGTAACAATTGTCCTCAATCTTTAAGAGACGCATAAAGTAGAACGTGGTGAATTGTCGAGTAGTATACTTGTCACGTATTTGGCATATAGACATCTTACCTACGTCACAAGTTACACAAGCTTGTAAAATTGATTTTACAAGCCACGCGTTTACAATGAAGTAAGATATGATGAGTTGTTGTACAGTATACTCACCCTTTAGGTAACAATGAGACATCTCACCAATGTCATAGATAAAGGAAGCTAAGAATTGTAATACGTAGCAATATACGAACGCACAGTGAGATAAAATAGAGGTTTAATGTAATATTGAATTCCCTTGATGCTGTTTTACTTGTATCTTCCAATTGTTCTTTAGGAATGCAATTGATCAGTCTCCTGTTGCCATATGCGCATCCTGCGCGGATTGCCTCAACAGAGCCATACATCACAAGATTTTTAAGCATAAATGGATAGTGGCTAGCAGTGGAGTCCCCAATAAGACGAAACGCACTCCCTATTCGTTATACTAGTTGCCTAAAAACAAGTGAAGAATGTTTCAACGAATAACACAGTGGAATTTTGATAACACTAGGTTTATACATATTCGGTGAATTTTTTATCGTAATGAAGCTCAGACGACTGTAAGATGACTATATTCACTTAGAAGAAAGTTTTCAATTGTAGAAGAAAAATCCTGAAAATTCAAAATGATCCCACTATGAATTATGCTTTAAGCTAATGTTTCAACTTTTTGTGTCCGATCAACGGACATTTAGCAAAGCAACACTGCACGTATCACTGTTATCAAATTTACGAGAATGTTAGAGAAGTAAACCTTACCGACACATGGAATAAGACACTTCTAGGCCCAAGTTGTCGTGAAATAGTTCAAACCATCTTTTTCACAAGCAACACGATTTACATGAGCAATACGTCAACCTATAGGGTATAGTAACTATAAGTATATACGGATAAAGTTAAGCACTTAGCGAGCAAAACTTCATATATATTGTTGAGATTAATAATGGAACTTAGGAAAACATCACAAAGTCAATGTCAAAAAGGGCCAAGAGAATGAAGCTTTAAGTGTTTGGCATACACAAAACCCTATGCTCTTACAGATAATTATAGAAAGTTAATGTTTGTCACTTACCGACTTACTACAACTGGTTGGTGGGATACACCCAAACGAACATTGTATTGTTTAAACAAAAACATTTGAAGATGTGAGAAAATTGCTAACAGAATCTGTTCATCGCCAGTGGAAAAACAACATGCTTCCTGAACATTAGGTATTAAAGTGTCAGAAGTCGAAACAACTCATATGTGTGAATGTATGTTAATGTAATGTACTAGTCAAGAACGTATTATTTAAAGAGAGTAGAAGTTTGGTTGCCTTTATTTATCTAACCACTTCGAAAATGTGACGCCGACTTTGGACAATATAATTCACAACAGTTTCACAAATAAAGGCCAACATATGTTTAAGAAAATTAGTAACAATGTAAACATTTGAGGAAACACTAACCGAGTATTATAATTTTACAAAATAACCGAAGGGATGAGTATATAACGTCTTCCAGATTCTGGTAACTTAGACTAAGAAGATTTAATTGAGGGACAAACTTATTCCTAGGCAAACAGGAAATACGGAAAACGAATAGTTCAACTTTGTAGGAGTACAAAAGTCTTAAATAAGCGGTCATTTTGTGAGGTTTATACAGTGTGATATTCGTTTGCTCCGTCACTAATATTCCGAAAAGAGAATAAAAAAACTAAGGATGTGGTTATGCAAGACTAATTCATACTTCTGTAAGGAAAGACGTGGTCACTACAGTAACTTCATTATAGAAATTATGAACGTTAGCACGCTCATCTTGTAAGCAATTTTAGTTTTTCAATTTTACGCTTCGACCGCATATATTAATTCAGCTTGTAAGATATTAGATATTTTAAAATCAAACAGGTTACAAAGAGGGAAAAATTTGAAAATCTGAACTGGCATAAATAAAATATGAGGTCTACAAAAGCTATTTAATGCGTAAAGAAAATTACAAGGCTACAGTTTGAAAATTCATTACCTTGAGTAACAACAGGCATTTTTAATTGTTTCTCGCTTTCACGAGAAGTTAGTGAAAATTTGTCCTTCTCGTAGCCACTTAAAGCTATGATGTTGGATCCAGTGCGATTAGTCCCACCTGGCATTGTACCAATGCCGCTGCTACTACTTCCAGTTGCAGTACTGTTACGCTTGTCACCTAATGTGGGTCTTGTTACTACTGGTTTAGTAACGAAATCCCGGTCACAATCTTCCAACAATCCAGATTCTGAACCATGATCGTTAGAATAACTCCGTGAAGAATGGTGGGAATTTGGATTTAAAGAAGAGTCACCGCTATTAATATTACCATCATTAATGGATACAGAAGTATTATTATGCAATGAATCTTCGAGACGGAATAATTTATCACTCATATATTGTATCAACAGATATATTGAGAAACCTGTAGGTACAGTTAATTTAAAACAGTCATACCTAGTTTGACCCTCAAGCTAACACATTTAAGGCATTTAAACAGTCACCCTTTTCTCATGCTGCAAAATAGGTTAGAAATTGCATCAAAATTTTGACGAACACATACGATGATGTGATATGACTTATTTTCGTTCGATGAAGTAGTTATAATTTTATCTTTATGTGACTCAGTTGATCGGTTGACAAACTGACGCGGAGGCACCTCATCTATACTCGGAGTCGACGGAATCATATGGGCCAACAAATAAAGGACGGCCCATGAAGTGGTCTGTTAGAAATAAAAGCTCAAAGAAAGAAGTTTCTTCGCCCTCCAAATGGCAGCGAGCAGGAAACTCATGGAAAACCTAATCGCAAATCCAGGCCCATTTCTATCAGGTAAAACAGCAAGCAGAACATCAAAGTCATCGACAATCATCCAGGATCACACGATGTGTGTAATGCTACTGTGATTGTTATTTCAATGAAAGTTGATGAATGTGTGCAAATGAAGAATAAGAAACGACCTAGTGTTGCTAAAGAAAAGCTAATCCAGGAAAAAGTAGTTGAGAAAATGAAGACTGATCATAGCGACAGGTTGGTTGTCTTTCAATGAGTAAAGGAGAACGAATTCTCAGAACCCAGAACTCGTTTAGAGCATGACATTGAGTTGAAAAAAGAGCTACAAAATCACCTAATGACTCGGGAAATCTCTGAATTCGTTTCGCCAAAAATTTGTGGTCTAAGTGGCCAGGTTGCTAGAAGAAGTTTTTAAATCCTCCAATGAAAGGGATATAATACTACGGAATCGAAATAAACTAAAGGGGTTAGGAGCTTTTGTTCGTAAACATTTGCCGCTCATGGACCGTATAACAAAATGAGACGCTGGTAAAGAACCAGAGCTAAGATTAGACTCTAGTGAAAAAGATCGAAGAATTGAAAATCTTCGGATGGTAAGTAGCCGACAGAGAAGCATGCTAAGGCCACTTTGAGTGCGGCGCGAAGTGATTTAAATGGGCTTCCGAGCTTGCTCAACAAGTAATCCGGGCTAGATGTACAGATAGACTCTACCAAACTGGATGTATTCACAGTCACAGAAATTTGGTTGACGAAGTCTATAGACAGTAAGGAAGACAGTTCTGATGCTTTCACGTTAGGAAAAGTTCTACGTCACTAAATACTGACGAGACAATACCTCGATATCTTAAATCTCGAAATAATTGTGCCTTGGCCATCCACAAATATGGGAATTTGTACGAATAAAAACGTACATATAAAAAGTAAAAAGAGAAGAGGAAATAAGTCAGCACTGTAGAGAGATAGTAGTAGTGCATTAGTAGTGTTGGACAAATATGTGAATCCTCAGGCATACTGAAATTATTATAGTGATGTTTATAAAACAGAGAATTTATCCCCTATATTCCCTAAAATAACACGCCACACACAAAATGTACAATGCAACCGTTGAAGAACTAGCTCAATTTCGTTTCTTAAACAAACTCCTTGTCGGTAAATTCATAGAGCTCAATAAAATACATCCTACGTTACAAATTGAACTAGTAAAATTAGTCGCAAACACAAACTCATGTTTATGTCTGGACACAATACAAAGTCAACCACTAAAAGACTGGAAGAATGCCAAAGTGAGTACAATCTTCAAAACACGTACGAGATACAAAACTGCGAACTAACCACCCTTTAGCCTAATCAGTGTGGCTGTTAAAATTTTAGGTAACACTATCCAGAATTTGTTGTTTGAGTACCTAGACGAAAACTGGATTCACTCTGAAAAGCAGCATAGATTTAAAACAAGTTACTCATGTCTCACAAACTTGTCAATAATCTATGCAATTTGCTGGGCTCTTAAGTATCAAAAGTTACACATGCAAATAGCTTACACTGACTTCAGTAAGGCTTTTAACAAAGTTCCTCACAGCTCGCTGTTATCTAAGCTAAGCGGTATCGGGATTGGAGGTGGGTTACTCGTGTGGATGAAGGATTTCCTAGTTGGGCGTCAACAAAGAGTACGGATGAACTCCAAGTTACCTAGCTGTAAAACTGTGTCTAGAAGAATGCCTCAGGAAACTGCTGTGGGGCCAGTGTTGTTCCTCCCGTGTGCGAACGACCTTCTTGGTCTCCTGTCACCATCCATTTTGCTATATATTGAAGATGTCAAGATGTGGAGATCGGTAAAATGTCAAGGTGTCATTAATAGCTTCAAAATAACCTGGAGAATTTGTCTGAATCCTTTAGAATTTGACGGTTGCCGACAAATACTTTCAGGTTCATTTTGATGCATATTGGTAACCAAGGTATAGATACATACAACGTGAGTAACATTAAGCTACCTGTTATCCAGTCAAACAATGACACAGGATTAATTGTCAGTCTAATTTCCCTGTTATCTCATGTTTAGCTTTGAGGATTATGGTTAGGATCCAATGCCACAACAAGAGTACAAGTACCTTCTGGCTAGAGTTGCATTTCCAGCTGTCGCTTGTAGGAAAATTCTGGTCACTCAAAACCTAAGTACAATAAGAAGTCGAAGTATTCAAATTGCTGTTTACACTTAAAGATGCCACAAGTATTCAGAGTTTGACAACGTTTTAACCAGTAACACCATTTATAATCGAATTGTACTAACCCAGACAAATCAAAAGTCAGAAGCGCAGTTTTGAAGAAATGTTTGATAGAATATCGATATGTAGAGAAGTGATATTTCTAAGCTGGTCAGCAGTCGTAGGAAATGTGAGGCACGATGTACTCACGAGACTAGACGAGACGATCGTTCAGACTGCAGATCATACTGAATTTTAGTATTAAAAAGTTGTATGCTGTGTGTATGTACTTTGTAAATACTTTGTAACTGCTCACGAGACATGTATTCGCCCCGCCCATTGTTTTGTTTTCAATGAAGTTACTAAGAACTTGATCTTTGATTCTGCATAAGATGGTTGCCAAACGTACCTGAAAGTGTTAAGCATTTCCAGCTGATTTTATGTTGGTCTTGAATATGCCTTTACAGTGAGAAAGATTTTTTAATAAATGCGCCACACGTAGGTTTCTCCCGCTAGAGTTTTGTAGTTGAAACCCGCTGTGCATAAAGAAAATGGAACTGTTATATGCAGGATTCACGATTGCTGAAAGATGTCATTATTTTTGAGCGATCTAGGTCCTAAGTAGCAAGTCGAATTTCGAATCGCCACGGCGAGACTGTGATTTATGGATGAATCAGTGAAACTTATGACGGAACTAATTTGATCTTAGAAAGAGATTCTATCATCTGTATATTGAAATAAAAATTTGTAGCGTGGTGTCGAGTTGAGCTTGACTATGAACACCGCTACAAGACTACGTGCCAATAGACCAATAAGATTCCGGTAGGCCAAAAATCAGAAGGCAGATGATGGCTGTAGTCGAGATGTATTTGTTGGCGATCTCGTGGTATCGAAAGAATACCGAGATCGTGCCAAAGGAGTACAAGCGTGGTTACTGAGCGTAACCGAATTCGTACAAGTTCAAAGTCAACGGGAGAGTAAGTATAATGGCTGTCATTAGCACAGTTAACAGCATACACATGTACGAAGTTGGGTCCTCAAAAAACGTCATCTGTAAAGCTTTGGAGATTTTGGACAGCATTTCTTATGCCGCAAGGCATGCGCGAAAATTCGTAAAGCCCGAAGGGAGTTATAGTAGCGGTTTTCAGGATATCGTCAGTAACCATGGGAATTCGGTTTTAAATTTAACCAAGTTGATTTTTGAAAAGACAGCTGTGCCTTCCAAGGTAGCTGTCAAGTCGTGAATATGAGGCAACGGGTAATGACCATGAATGGTTTTTTCATTCAATCGACGATAGTCATCAGTTGGACGCCCACCGTTGTTGTCACTTTTAGGGACCATGTGTAGGGGAGATGCCCATGGGCTGCTTGACGGTCTTATGATTCCTAACTCTATCATGTGATTGAATTTGTTTTTCGCCAACCCGAGATTTTCGGGAGCTAGTCGGCAGGCATTCGAGAATACAGGAGGTCCTGATGTGATGTGTAACATTGCTGGTTGCACACGGCAATTTCGGTTGCGATTGGTAAATGCGAGAATACTTATCGAGTATCGGTTGTAAGAATGGGTCTCTCGTGTGCTTAACTGTGACAGGAGATAATCTGCAACCGGAAAATAAGTTACAAAAACAGATATATTAGTAATTCTGTCTACTAGCTACCGTTTGGACGTATCTATGATTAAATTGTGGTACTGTAGGAGGTCCATGCCAATGATTGGCACAGAAACATCTGCAACAACAAATATCCAGTGAATGGGTCTGCGTAAATCCACGTTAAAGTAAACGTACTTTTTACCATATGCACAAATATGCTTTCCGTTTGCCACCTGTAGGTTTGAAAAACCGATTCGTGAAGCTTGTCGTTATAAGTCTCTGGAAGAATGCTAAATTTTGCTCCAGTATCGACGAGGTAGCGAACTCTCGTTATCACATCTGTGGCGTATAACAAACTGCTATGTTGGCCGGCTACGTTTGCTGTTAACACATACCGGCTTGGACGTTTTTCGTGTCGGTCGATTTCGAGCATTGGAAATCGCATGGTTTTCTGCAATTTGTGGAAGACTCTCCATACTGGTCATGATATAAGCACCAGTCGGGGCTGTCAGTCTCTCGTGGTCTAGAGACCGATCGCTTACATGTAGTGCTTCTCCGCGGGGTGTGTGATCGTTTACAGTCATTACGAAATTTAAGATAACGTGTAAGTGTATGACATAATTCTGTAACGTCATTCTGGGTCGTTCGAGGCTTTTCTTTGACTAAAAAACCTCGGCATTAGAAGAATTCGTGATTTCAAGGATGTGGTCGGCAGATGCAGCCAGCTCGTCTACGGCGTTGTTTTGAAACGAGACCAGCACAGCTTGCACCTGTTGAGGAAGCTTAGATAAGAACAGTTGTCTGCATAAGCCATCATCAAAAGTTTTTTGGCCGATAACCTCTCTCATTCTTTGCAACATATCCGTCTCAGAAGTGTTGCGGGTCAATATTATTAGGTAGTTGATCTAACCTTTGTCGATCGGTTAGGTCTCTGTGTTTAAGGATAGATCGTTTTAGTGCTTGGCAGGGTTCCGAAACATCAGTAGTAAACATGCTAGGTGTTAGGTACCTGTTGAATTCGTACTGTAATGCCTTGACTACTGCGAGGAATTGTGAACGTGTGTCGTTAACGCCAGGCTTCGATGTTGTCTGGCCAGAAGGGCATTAGTTGAAACGAAGGTGGAGATATAGTCTTTAACTTAAGTAACTTGGGTGTCTGTCCCGTCATGGTGAAATATCAAGTACGAGAATGAACGAGTGAAATATATATATATACGTTCAAAATCACGAAAAATATCGCAATATATAAAAATTAAAATAAAGTGATAGCATATGAAGTCCCGAAAAGGAATAGACTCTCAGTTTGCAATTTGGTGTACCAGATCACGTTGGGCTCACCAATGAAGGTACCACAGGTATTCGGATTTTAACAACGCCTTAACCAGTAACACCCTCTAATATGAATCGTACCCACCAAGTGAAATCAAAAGACAGAAGCGAGGAGGTTCGAAGATATATTTTATAGGCTGTCAATATATCGAGGATCGACTGATCTAATCTGGCTAGCGATTGCAGATGTTAAGCATGGCGTTCCCTCTCGTGATCTGGTGCGGATGCATGACCGAGCGACTTAGGCTAGATGAGTACATTAAAACTAATGTGGACTGCACTCAATGTCGAAAACTTACATAGCTATTTATTTTGGGGATTTATTTACCGCTATAAACCTGATACCTAGTGTTTGTTAGAGGTTAGAAAAATTGTCAACAGTGACATGTGTGGATTGAAGTAACACTCGATGAGCTGTCTGACAAGATTCAACATTTTGTGTTATATTAATTACTTTTTACCAGAATGTATGAGAATACTTAATTGTTGCAAATTTAAAAGTTAATTAACGGTGGGATTCCCACATTAAAAGCTGAAATTGAATGTTGATTTACAGCAAAAACCACAAATTCAAGCACTTGTGGATTACCTATGCTTGTTATGTACTTGTTTCAGTTAGATGTAGTGAATAATATATTTCTTAAAGCAAATATATGACGCGGGAGTCTGAAACCTACAGGTGTTACGTTCAAATTAAATATTTCATTATTTATGCGTGCAAAGCAGACAGAACCACAATTTTGAAATCCGTAAACTATTTTTTGGACATCATTATTTCCTGGAGTGATGATAAGCCACGAACACATAGTGCTTCTGTCATTTATTTATTAGCACTAACACTCAAGTTTTTTTGAGCGAGTTCATATCCAACAAAAAGTTGAACTGGCTTTCATCTGGCTGATTTTCGCATCACCGGTTTAACTCCCCTTGTTGTTATGACTTAGAAATACAGAACAAACCAATGTAATGAACCTTAGTTACATATTTTTGTTAACAGATATCATCTAACATGATTGACCAGAGTGATTTGACAGACCGCTTTGAGAAATTTTACGTTTGTGTAGCATCATCTGACGATTATTTAATTATAACACACCGTATCCTAGTGACCGGGCTATCCTTGGTCTTCTGGATAAGATACAGTATCTTCATAAAAAACAGTTAATGCAAAAAATTATCAAAAGTTAGTTTACATGGACACCCGCTAAACTGCCTCACATGCTAAAATCTTGTCAATAAATGGTTCACCCATGATCAAACCACTCGACCAGACTTCTAAAGATAGATGCGTCTAGTCAGCTTTATGAATAATTCATCCAAGGGTCAGTAATTATTTGACTCTACAATACCATATACAGAACCCTTCTCCTCAACTCTACAAAATTAAAAACGTTAGACGAAATTTCAACGCGAACATAGTGTAGACACAAAGGTTTTTACTCCGAATTAGCCTTGTTATCTTTGACTAAAACTTGTCTGTTAAACTCAGAAAACCACTTATTTAGCGGGCCACTCTCTATTTTGAGCTGAAAGTTGAAGATATAACGGTCTTGAAATGATTCGAGTAGTGTAGGTTGTAACAACACTGTTGAAATACCCTACGAAAAATCGTCAGAATCAACATTGACTAAGTTGGAAGACATATTTGGTTTACCTGCGAAGGTATCGCGAAGTGCGACTTCAAACCAGCATGTTCGAGTAATGGACGCATTCTCTAGCATGTTGGAACAATCTTCTAGGTACCTGACCGACCGTCTTCACCTATTAGTGTCCAGGAAAAGTAACATGATCGACTTCTCTGTCAAATTTTTTCTGTTATTTATTACGAGGAGCTATTTCTTAGTACAAAATACCGATCTCGGACTTTCAAGCTGAGATTTACGTTCAGATTTGAGGACGAACCTGTAAACGTAAAATCATTTCAGATACTCATATGTTTTGCCTTCTAGGGGATATGTTTTAGGTATTATTCATTTGGAAGACTTAAAATAATTACCTCCAGGACCATTCGTCTTTATAAGATAAGACTCTTCCTATGGATCTTAATGTCTTTATGTTCAGTTTATTCACACCTCAGTGAAGGTAGACATGACTCATGATCTAACGGATGGTTTACAACTATTTTTGTTCTACACGTATATTACGATGATATGTTAATAAGGCTAATCACGTTATATCAGAATCAGGATCTGCGACCCAAAATGGAGAACCAGATTAACACTAAAGAATACTTTATTGAATACAATTACAAGAGACACTCACAGTGAGTCCAGAGTAGAAATCAATGATAAAAAGGAAAATTCACACATTTGATGGCCCGTAAGCTGTGGCTGTTTGTCCACGCTCAACGACAAATCATACATTACTTTCACTACCACACAACTCATCAGTTGGCATTTTTATAGCTTATTTGAAAACCCTATCTTTAAAAAAACGAAACCGTATCTTGGAAAATTAACCTGTGACTTGGCCTTGGGAGAAACAGAACTGATTTCAGACACTATAGCTTCGATTGAATTCTAGGCGTAGACTGTTGACTTGTAGAAATAATTGTACCAACGTCGACCAACATAAGTAACAGCCACATCTATCCTAGGTTCTATGATATATCTAAATAAAAATAATATACTTGTGATATCCCAATGAGTAGAAAGATTAAAATTTTTGACGTTTCGTGACTCAATGGAAGCCACTTCTTCAGAGAATATTAAAAATATACTATTTTTATTTATAACAATCTACCTAATGTCCAATTTATTTGAAATCACCAAGTCGAACCTTGGTTATATATATATATATATATATATATATATATATATATATATATATATATATATATATATATATATATTCATTGCTTATCACCCTTCGTATGAATAATTCAGATCTGATAAATGTCTCTTACCTTATCATTGCTACTGTAATTATTCGTGCTATTGTTAGCTCTGTTATCTTTACACCTGCCTATTCACATGTTTATATTAAACCATTTTGATAGTTAATTGAGAATCAATATTTCGGTGCAGATGAGTGTTTTGTCCTAGGCCAGTGAGGTTGCCAGGACCAGAAGTTATCACATTACGCAGCAAGATATTGGTTGGTTACAGTGTGAAAGCTCACAAAACTAGAATGCAGAAGAGACGAGAAAATAGCAGTCAGCCGTGTGACTATACTACTTACAATGGAACCGCATCACAGTATCATGAAGTGTATATAAATAAATCCGTTGGTTAGTACAAACTCGCCAAGAAAATATGACAATTTAATTAAAACCAGGTTCATTGTTGTTTAGAGATAACTGTACGTTAATTTCAAATATATCACTTCGTGCATTGATTACAGTGTAAAAGTCAAAGTTTAATTATGAGTCATAAGTTTATTAGCATAACTATAAAACAGAAAAGTAAAAGAAAAGAAAACCACTGAAAAATTTCCTTTTATTCCAGAGATGAGAATTTGGTGAATTCAAACGGGTGAATACATACCCAACTTTGTATTGAAGTAAAGTCTAGACAAGCGATGTTCTGTCAGAATAGCTCTATGAAAAGCATAAATGAAGAGGATAAATAATAGTCAGTTTAACACTGATTACAGGATGATAATTAATTGAGCATAAAAAATTAATGATAGTAAATTACCAAAGCATTTCTCGACTTGTTTTGCTTCTTAACAAATCAGAGTGGGAAAAAAATGTCTACTATATGAAATAAATATGAAGGGGGAAACGAAGATTGAATCTGACTGTAACGATGGTACCGATCTTGAATGATGTTGTTCACCTAACTGGATATTGTTTAGTGTCATCTAATACAAATAACAAAGCAAACGACAATTGGAAAAGTGTAATATCTGTTGTAACTGACTGGGACGGTTTATATTTTTTAACTAAATCTCTAATAAGAATTCGTGCTAAATTTATTAATAGGTTATTTGATTTTTAGGCTGGTATCAACCACACAACAATTTGTAAAGACGAAATACCAAACAGCTATTCTGTCTAGCTATATGCACTCATGAAACCCTTTTTTAACTGAAATAAGAAGCATTTTCAACGTCATCATTTTACTCTGAATCAAAAAGTTGAATCCGACTTTCTCCTGATAAACATCAATAAAAATGTTATGTGCTTATTTGCATACACTTACATATCAGAATTTCTAATAAAAGTCATTCAACCTATTAACTTCGTAAATGTATGTGTAAAAAGTTAGACAAAATTTTCCAACTGGTGAAGATAGAAAGTAGATGAAGCAGATAGTAAACGCATGTTAGCAATCACTGAGTCCTTTTCATAGAAGTGAAATATATCGTTTCAAGTACAACAACCTTAGTTTATAGATTACTCCAAAAAAGGCTACAAAATCATCTTATCTACATAGCATATACAGCTACGATTGTTATCAACGCCTTCATATTATCTATGCTGAATATGTTTTTTCTGATTTTAAATAAAAAAATTAAACGATAGTAAAGCATTTATGTGTACCGATTTTCTCTCCATGATATGAAGTCATTAATAAACAATAGCAAAATGCACCAGGTAAAACCAAATGCCGATATGACTGGAGATAAAACGTGCCAACTTGTTAATCTTAAAGAAGAATTAACGACGGACAAGCGGATAATCATATAAACTGAATGAAGAATGCATCTAAAGGATGAAAAATAAACAAGAAAAAACACACTTGTGTTAAAACAAAGTCTTTTAAATGAGTTCGACAAATAAAATATGTATGCAGTCCAAACACATTTTAAAGATGAGTAGTTTTTCAAAATATTCTAGAAGTTCCGTAATATAATTAATGTGAAAATAGTGCAACACAAGAGGTATTTCTGATGCTATTTTATTGAAGGCTTTAGAAAGAAGTCTGTAAACCTGGTTGGCTTCATCAGCAAAAATAACGAACCATATAGATCGAAACGCCTAAACAGCACAGTTATAACGAGAAATAGATCCAGTGCTTTCATCCGATCACGTCCAGCTGCTAATCATAAAAACCTAGTGCGGACGATGAAGTGTCACTTAAACTACTAGTGATATTGCAGCTTATCGATAGAACCAAAGATTAAAAATGAGCATGAGAATGTTTATTACTCAGAGACCATCCAGGAGTAAAGAAAGATGTGTTTATTTCTATTGTTTTTATGTTGTGAAAGGATTTTTTACGAATAGATGAAAAAGACAGAGATTTGGCTAAATAACAATGTTAACATATTATAGAACAAGTAAGGTTCTTAATATAAACAGGAAACTTAATAAATATGCTTTATTATATTTAAAAATTGCTAAAATTTTATGAATTAGTTAGTTTTATTACCAGGATCTGAGCCAATTAAAAAAAATCTTCATGCTTACATAATTTCATTTTGCTTATACAGACAAGATAAGTAGTTACAGTACAGCGGAGGTTTCACATAAAACTATAAAGGAGCTGGTTAATGAACTGTTTACATTTAAGATATTTAACTATTGAGAATTAACTTTCGACTAAGTTTTAAGACTTTATTATCTTCAAGTTACCTGATTGTCATCTTCTGGATCAAAAAAACGCAAACGACCTTTGTTTGTTGCCTATAGTTATAATGCAAAGAAATGTACTATAACTAACAGCCGAGAACTGTGATATATAAATAGTTTGAGTAATCCACTATGACAAAACTACAATCAGGGAATATGATGACCAAAGAATTAAATGGTTACCACCAAATCTGTGTTCAAATGAACAAACAAAATGATAGCTAATATATGAACGAATATCATTGTCCGCTACGTTAAAGTATTTCCACAACTTTAGAAGCATAAACATAGTCACGATTCAGTATTTTTTGGTTCAGGGTAACAGAATAGGAAAACTGGGTAAGACGAAAAATATTAAATCACAAGTTTTTTTCTCTGGAAGTCCCAGTACTCAAGACGTAAAAAGGGGATGCAAAAAATGAACAGAAACAGAGTCATTTAATAATAAGTAACCCACATTAGACTAGAGACAATGCACCAAGAAGGATTTGTAGAATATCGGAATTTCCATACTCTTTGACCATAATTGGCATAAGAAAATGATATAACAACTGGAAACAAATAAAAAAACGAACTAAGCAAATGGCTCTTTACAATGGCTAGATGTAGTTAATATGCAAAGGATGAATAGAGGACTACCTCGTTCATTCAGAACGTAATATAAATTTCCTATATTATTAAAATCAACCAACCATGTGTAATTTAGGTGGTTAAAAATAAACTATATATGAAATTTACATTAAGGCGCGTTAATATTACATAAACTGGTAGCTCAGTGACAAACAGTGATTTTTTTTTATCTCCAAACTGCATAGTTGTATCTTACAAATATTGTAAGCATCATGTCTGACTACAGTATTGAACAATGATTGAAGCAGCATGGATCGTCACAAGTCGTTATCTGTTATAGCTAGAAGGTTGTTTACTTGATATACCGCGTATAACCGAGCACTAGAACGACAAAACCCTTCCAAGTCGCAAGGAGAAGACAGAAGACTAATGAAAGGAATATTATTCCAAACAGTGTCAATTATAGTACAAAATTGTCAGATATTTGTAGTTTTTAATAAGAACAAAATCATCATTACAGTCCTCCAACCCGCATACAGAGGGTTATTATCCCTGTCCAATCGGGAAGCTACACGTAAGAATTCTAGAACACTCTACCGAAAGGTGATTGGATGGAATATCTTCGGCTCCTTCTGAGCCTCTTACAGCTTACTCGTGTTTACCCGTGGTCCGTCGTCACATTATCATTACTATATTATTAGTACATTAAGGTAATGAGTATCAACTATTGACAGGTAAGTTAAGGAATGCTCTTTACTCGTTTTACATTATTGAACAACATACACTGGTGTTGATGTGAAATACAAGACTTGGGTCAGGTTTCCTACAAATGTGCAACATAAGTGCAGACTTGCTTGTGTTTTATTAAACACTAACAACTACTATCAGAAGGGGTTTTGTGGAGATTGTAGTAAATTCATTGATTAAGATCATGAGTCAGTTGAAGCTAGACCACCATGGAAAACCTGGAAGCACTGGACGGCCGTTTCGTCCTATTATGGGACGAAACGGCCGTCCAGTGCTTCCAGGTTTTCCATGGTGGACTAACAACTACGCTACATAATTTGGTAAACGAATTTCAATCAGTAATGCACTAACTAACTCATGAATTCAAAATATAAATCACCTTTTAACTAAGTTTGCACGCCCAAATGATTAAAAGACGACTACTAGGATTGTTCCAGTGACCAAGCAGATGTTTTTTGACAGACACAACCACTATATTCCATCTAAATAGACGTCACGAAACAGAACCGACTAATCAACGGGTTGAATGTGTTAGAGAATGTAAATTAAATACAGTATATTCACCAGAGATAATATGACTATGACTTAGCAAAAGATAACCACTAATTAAAAATGATCTTGAAGTAATCAATGAGACTATACTTCTACCCACCGCATCACATATATACGCATTTTTGAAGATCAGTAGTGAATTAAAGAAAAAATCGAACTTCAAACCAGAGTGTATAGGTTAAACATCTTTCATAATAGATGTCTATGACAATATTTCCTACAAAATAGTCATGTGCTACATTGCAGCTATTTACGATGACATCATTAGTAACAATGGTAATAATAATAACAATACGATGCATCTATATGTTATTAGGAAATATATATCATAAAATTAAAAAAAAAAAACTAAACCCACTCCACATACTTAGGTACATGATTAACTGATAGAAGATTAAATCCTTCAAACTGTATATTAATATGGACAATTTAGACAGACATGATTCTTGAAGGGCATAAGATGATCTGAGAAAAGGATAAAAAAGGAAATATATAACTAGTCAGTGATGTTCTTTTCTTGATGAATTGATCAAGTATTACTTGAGACTGATTCTTGTTCAGGGTTTTATAGTTTCAGATTATTTGATAATCATATCAACATTAAATTTTTCATTAAACATCTTGAAGGGAAAAATTACTACTTTTTAAGATGAAAGCAGGAAATTGAGGTCAAGAGAGAGAGAGAAAACAGCTTGATATTTGTTAGAATACTGGATTTAATGTACATGACCATATAGCACAAAAAAGATAGGCTACTGCAAACAACCTAAAATAATAATTACTCTTTTTGTTTTTACTTGCTGAAGTTATACTATATTGACAAGCAAGTAGGGTTTCATAGAGAAAGTTTTCAGTAATTGGATAAAATCTAGAAAGTAGTACCGATTATCAGTTGTTCAATACAAATCATGAACAGGTTACCTTTACTGAATAGATAAAAAAGTATTTTGATTCATCAAGAATCTATTGTGCTGCTGTAAAGTAGAAACAATACTCTGTGAATGTGAGGACAAGTCGCATGCTTAGTTTATCCGATAAAATTATGTTGGTTACGCAATTAAGAGAAAACTGGTTCCTTTTTTTATTGCTCGGGGTTAACTCTCATGAGAACCAAGTTATTGGTGATCCGTTGGATAGGAGACAACTCAGTGATAAAAAATGTGTGGGCATATTTAGGTATGATTATCAGGTTATATTATTACCGACATCTAGGATGGATTGAATTTTAGAGGTTAATTTTCGATTTAATTAATATGTATGTTAAATTAACGAAGTGAGACCGACAAAATTGAAGTCATCTTACGATTATCACAGTTTCGATAACAGTTTAATTACAGTGATTTGTTTTTATGGGACTGTACGTGTAGTTGAGAAAGCGTCTTGTATGAGGAAAGAATTAAATGCATGAAACTGTTTGATAACTATTTATTGAATAGTTTTAGAACGTTCAGTTACAAGTTTAAAACCGTTCGTTTTCTGAACAGCTCTAATGGATGATCAGTTTAACTGAAATAAACAAGCATGAAGTGGTGTAACATATTTGAAAAATAATGATAATAGATCGAACAATATAAAATACATAATTTCAACTTACGATAGCGTTTTAGTATATGTCTTAGAATCGTTAATTAGGGGATTTGTTTCATTAAACTTATTTATATAAATACTGTGAAATGATCGGTGACAATCTTCAAGCTGTTGAGCCCATAAAAGATGACCGATTTCGCAGAATAGACAAATTAACAGTGACGGTATGAAACGAGAACAAGTCACTAAAGTAAAGCGTAAGCATCTCTAAATTTACAAAACATGCAAACAGATGAAAAAAATTCATGTATCAATAAAAAACAGATTAAGAGAAATAACTGGAAAAATACGAGAATTAATAATTGAACACGCTGGTACTGGGAGGTTTGTCAAATCACATCTACCTGATGATATGAACAATGTGGTACTTTTTGGATAGAATGACAATTGGTATCTATTTTAAATTAGTGATATGTCTTTGCATATGGTTTCTCTATCAGTTACTAACCAAATAAAAGAACATTCTGTTGTGTTAGACTGAATAGATATAAATTTCCATGTACTGACTTATTTAAAAAGAACGTTTAGTCAGAATGCAGCACATAAAACTTGATATAGCCTGAATATTTCTAAGATAAAGAACATATTTGAACGTGTTGAATTAATGCCTGAAAAAAGTCAAAAACACAATAGACAGAATTGTTTAGGTAGTTTGAATAGACTTGAGACTTCTCTTTATCAACGTGATTACTAGCTACCAACAAAGATGCAAGAGTATTGTGAATAGAGGCAAATGAAAATGTAGACGTAATGAGTGAGTGAAATGGGAGGATAGTTATCAGTAAAATTATGAAGATTTAAATGTTGTAATCATATGTACTAAATAATATGAAATATTTGAAGCTTATTTCAAAGACAAAATTAATTGAGAATAACTCTCTATGATGTTCGTTTTATTGTAAAAAGCCTACAGCGAAATCCAGTCAATCAATTCAGAAACGTAAAACAATCATCAAAATCAAATTAACTCATACACCAGGTACTTGAGGATGAACCACACTCTATGTGTCATGGTTGATGGCACCAACCGGTTGTCCAAACCGCAGTAGCAACCAATGTTAAGAGATAAATCTATACAGGAATGATCATAGTGGCCATAAAGTAAGTCTTTTACGCACTAATGACTCACAGTAAAAGCAAATTAAAAAAAGATAGTAGTTTAATTACAATTATTCTTCTGTGAGTTAAAACTTTGACTAACAGAAGAATGTATACGCTCAGCTATACACAGAACATCCACACAAGTAAATAATCAGCAATTGTGTTCCAAATAAAAATCGAACCCGTTATTAGATTTAGATAATTAAGGGAAGGTCATTCAGGCATATATAATCGCACCAACTCACCTTCTTAGTAAATAGTTTATTACGCTTAATCGGTGGCTCACGTAACGGTTGGTTTCTTTCAACTCGCCTATCAATTAAAGATAATGTTAAAGATGGAATGACAATGAAAAGTAGCCAAAATAATTGACCAATGCTAAAGCTTGGTTCTAAATTCCAATCCGAACTGTAATGTAACAAATTAATGTTAGTGTACTTATCAGTTTTGCTTAAATTACCAAAAATTTCACTTGAACCAAAAATAACTGATCGAAATGGTTCCACAGGCAGCCAAATTAATTCACCTTGTTGAAGATTTGACCGCACATCTAGCAAAACAACCGGTCGTGTAGGCAACCCGGTTATTAATAGTAATAATTGTAGCAAACCAACTGCTAAAGGAGTTGTTGAACTGAACACCAAACAATGATAGAGGTTATTAACGCTGGCGTGAGCCTGATTAATATAAATTGGAAAATAAAATGTTCAAAAGTATTCTGAATAATCACTAAAGTATAACTTCATTTATAAGTCAGCTAAATTTCACTAAACGGTTAATATTTTAAGTCACTAGACAGTTTCTAATGTTATACCATCAAGTCAATTGTGTAAGTCAAAATCTAGGGATTAAGTTGAAGAATGTTATCTCTTCAAACAGGACTAATCTAAAGCAATATTAAATGCTCAAACGTCAGAATCACCTATTTCCAAGTTGTACAGGCATCAGAATTCATCTTCCCGTTTCAGATTTATGTGAATCGAAAAGCTATAGATATAATGTATATTTACGTGCCTTTATAAAAGGTTTACAAATGATCGAAATGGTGAATACTGGAAAACTCAAACAGAAAAACTGAAGTTGTCAGGACGTTTCTCTCTTTGGCTATCCTTTCAAAGAATTGCAGACGAATATATTGAAATTCATGCAATTTATTTACAATGGATAAAGAAAGAGATGTTGTAACCGAGATGGTAGAAAATTTTGTTGATTGGGGATGGGTAGTAGATACCGAGTGTTAAAGACATACATAAAACATGTCCTGAAATATATATGGCCTGAATGTATACTAAACAGAAGTTTGTTGTAATATCGTATAATTGGTGATGAGAGTACCTTATTGTAACAAAGTTTACATTCTAATGAAATTTACGTGACTTTTAAAGGATTCATAAATGTTAGACAGCAGGAGAGTAACTATATTAAAAACAAGAGATCTCTATCACAAACCAGTGAACTGGGTGATAATGTTATCAAGATTTAAGTAATAAGTCTTGGATTTAGGTCTCAATGAAAAACTAACATGGTGATCCAAGCACATAAAGCTCAGTGTGAAATACAACAAAAAGCATGTTTCGGATTTTACGCAAATAAAAAATTGATACGAGAACCATTATAGTACGTATAATTTTACTGTACTTACCTCAACAATAAGATCGTAAACATGAAATCCTGTTTTCTCTATATCCAAAAGACAAGGTGTAACTAAGTGTACAAGATGTGCAGCAATATCGAATGTATTAAAATTTGTAGTACCACTTTCTTGATGTGTGGAAGTTAAGTTTTTTTTCGAACAACTAAAGTCTTCTGACTGGAGATCACTTGTTAACAGATCGACAGACTTAAGGGTTAAACAACGAAAAGAAAAAGTTCAAACAAAAATAATTAAAACAATAATGCATGCAGCAGAGTTCAGTACACAGAAAATGATTTTAAAAATTGTAAACGATAAGCTTTCTTATCATAGAATTAATAAAAGAATGACTAGATTGGAGGTAATCGATAGGAAACCCTGGACCCGGGTTTCGTGCTACTTGGCACTCGTCAGCAAGGTGTACCTGTAATCTTTGAGGGGACTGGTGCTCTCGGCCGTACACACGGTTCTTACATACTTATCAAAATTGCCGTTTATTTGATTAGGTATAAGCATTTATTGAGAACAACAAAGCCTTCTATGAAAGTAAGCTTAAAAAGCTGTATTTTAATAGAATAAGAACTCTGTAACATTACACAAATTAATTTTTACTGCTGTTATATGGTTACCGTACCTAGTTGCGTGTGCAGATCCAGGAAATGTTGGTGGTCTCATCTCAGAGGAATTTCACGTTCACGCTGATGTAAGAGAAGACAGAATATCAGCATGCTCAAAGTGAGTTCTAATCAATTTTGTGCTATTCTGATCAACATATTTAATCTCATTATATAGATTCAAACAGTTTTACTCACTTCTCTGATTGGTCTTTACTTAAAAAAAGAATCCGTTTTCCGTGAATAACTATACCTAGTAAAATCTACCAGATTTGACTGAGCGAATACTTGAAATGTAACTATCAGAACTATTTTACGGACTATTACCACTTACATTTTCACTCTATAATTATTAAGACGCTAGCTGTAGCCGAAAGAATATACGCGGAGGGTATGAACACAATCGGCATTCTTATCGGCGAATCGTTAGAGCAGTAAACCAAAGGTGCATTGATCTTTTCGGTCCACTGGACCTCATAAAACCTAAACTCCGACTTATAATATTATTTAAATGCTTCTCATAAGTCGCTTTCTATACGCTAATGATTTTTCAAAGATCTAAAATAAGAACTTTGCATTTGAAACGTGGTCGATAATTTGAATTAACCAAAATATCATGGTTTGCTTTACCTGCTAACCATACTAATGAGAATTGCCCTATCAGATGTCAATAGGCCTACATTTATCTCGTGCATTGAAGTAATGTACCTTTTCTGTGTAAATCCAATGTGTTGCCATATAGTGAACATCATAGTATAGAACAATTATATTCTGTAGATCTATCTTTTGACCAGTCAGACTACTAGAGAATGGTTAATGATTGAAAAATACCAAGTAGTTAGCACATACCCCGACCATTGTTGCTACCTTGACGTGGTGGTCGGGTTCGCCTATCATGATGAAGCAACTGAGCTATACTGGCTGGAACAACAGTTCCTCAAGGTCCTACCATGTCAGACAGGTTGGTTGAAGAGCGGTAAGATTAAAAGCAACAAACCCAAGGTCCAAAGTCGTACTGCTGACTGTACAGAGGTGTGACAGCAGTATGGTGTTTCCTTCAGACAACCAGCATAACAGAGATGCTACCTTCCCATAAGGAGGGGGTGGGGTTGGAAAAGGTCGACCCTAAAATGCACACCTCGCCTTATCCCACGGATATCCGTCTCCGGCGTCAAGGTCTCAACAAGTACGGAGCTAACACAAAAATTACTCATAAAAAGGTCGTATGTGATCGACCTCAAGCAGCTGCCCTTTGGGCACTGCGGTCACGCTCTCAGGTCACTATGACCGCCTCTAATCCGATTTCCTTTTCAGTTGCCGCCAGAAGGACCCTTCTACGGTGTGGGTAACTGGGAAGTGATGACTGCACTCATACCTCGAACAGCACTCAAGACCACTGTATTTATAATCAACCTACCTCTTCAATTCCTATTATTCCTTCTACATCGACTTTCTACATTAAACTTCCTCTTTTGGTTTCCTCCTCAAGTGTCACCATAGCCAACGATTCTAGTGCGCAAAACAGTCCCAGGTCTACTAAAACCTCGCTCCTAACTACACATTGGAGCCTTCAACGTACGCACACTATGCCAAATCGGTCAGCAGGCCTCGTTGGCTGAAACCCTAGAATCTCGTAGCGTTGATGTATGCTGTGTCTCCGAAACACGTATACAGGATCATAGCATGATCATTCACTTGACCTCACCTCGCGGAAACGGAGAGCCGACGAGATACACCCTCCGTGTATCTGGCGACCCGATGGCTAGTTTTCGTGGACTGGCAGGTGTTGGCATAGCACTAAGCATGAGGGCGGAACAAGCGTTATTAGAATGGATCACCGTTAACAGTCGTCTATGCGCTGTCCGGCTAAACGGCTCCGTAAGAACTCGAAAGGATAGGGACACACGTCGTTGCCTTTTCGTCGTTTCTACTTACGCTCCCACTGACTGCAGTTCGGATGAAGTGAAAGATGAATTTTACAGAAAGCTTTCCGAACTCCTCCAGAAAGCTAAACGTTCAGACATAGTACTCGTAGCAGGTGACTTTAATGTCCAGGTAGGTAGCCTAACCGAAACAGACAGACATTTAGGTGGGCATTTTAGTATTCCGGCACAGTGAACAGATAATGGTGATCGTTTACTGCAACTGTGCTCAGACAATCGTTTATTTTTAGCAAACAAATTTTAAGCAATAAGGAGAGACATCGCCTAACATGGCGACCACCTGCACCAAATAAACGATGGCCTCAAATAGATCATATTGCCATCAGTCATCGTTGAAGAGGATCGATAAAAGATTGTCGCTCATTCTGGAGTACCTGCTTGAACCCCAACCATGCCCTAATACGAGCACGCATCTGCTTGCGCTTCACTAGACGCAAAAAAGCCACATTAAAAGGACCCATTAGAACTGAGTTGAGTAACGAGAAAACCAAAAGTAGGTTCCAGGAACAACTGAGGTCACACTTAGGCAGTTCTGAAAACGAGGCTGACGCAGATGTTGGTTGGAAGGATATACAAGCAGCTGTGGAAACAGCAGTGACATATGTTAGTGATTTAAACCACAGGGTTACGAAAAACCAATAGGTTTATTCAAGGTTGATTGCACTTATGGATTATCGTAAACTTATCCCATCAGGCTCTGAATATGATGAAGAGCGTAAAGAAATCAGATCTAGGTTATTCAAAAGTCTAATGAATGATCGTGAGCAGTGATGGGCAACGAAAGCAAAGTAGATGGAAAAGGCAGTGACTGTAGGTAACACCAGACAGTTTTTCAAACTAGAAAAACATACTGGAATTAAGAAGCTACATGTAAATCAAACAACCGCCGAGAAAGACAACACTCTTATCTGCTCTCAGTCCAGACGTTTAGGACGATGGGTGGAACAGTTTAAGGAGCAGTTCAACCGTCCCTCAGCTACTCTACAGCTACCCACCATTACCAAACAGTCTGAATGGAACATTGAAGTGGCCCCCCGACCCTAATTGAAGTTCAAAGAGCCAAAGCTTATCTGGAACGAGGAAGAGCTGCTGGTCCAGAAGGATTGGCTCCGAAGGTCTCTAAGTATGGTGGTCCAGTTTTCGCGATTAGGTTGACTAATATTTTAGCTAAAATCTGGGAGTTGGATGTAATCCCCTCTAACTGGTCGTCTCAAAATATAAGAAGGGGTCAAAATCATCCTGTGATAACCAGAGAGATTAGTTTAACTAATATAGCATCTAAAATACTAGGCTCAATAATTCTCTGACACCTAACAAAGACTCATGAACTGCAAACACGGGAAAATCAGGCTGACTTCAAACGTGGTCGTAGATGCATCGACTATATTCTAGAACACAGGCATACTTATCGGCGTCCGACAATGGTGGTCTTCCTTGACTTAAAAGCAGTATTTGACTCTGCAGACCGAGAGGTTCTGTGACAGTGTCTGTCATTGAAAAGCGTACCTCAGAAGTACATAAACCATGTGAAGACTCTCTACTCGAACACTATAAGTCGAGTCACAGCGTATGGTGAGCTGTCATCTGATTTTGCAGCCTTAAGTGGTGTCCCATAAGGGTGTCCACTATCTCCATTTATGTTTAATTTCATTATAGACCTACTCGTGGAAACGACGTTCTCGTCGTCTGAATTTTCGGGAATTGGTCCCCTACCAGGAAGTTCATTTGACTTGGAATATACATATGAAATAGTCGTGTTTGGTGGAGACCTTGATTAAAATACAGTTTTTTGCTAGCACTGAACAACAATGCCAGAATGTTTGGGATGCGTTTCTCTGCCTCTAAATGTAAATTGTTGCTTCACGACTGGTCTGCGTCAACAGCTGAACTAAGGATAGGGATTGAAATAGTCGAACGCGTTGACAACTTCACTTATCTTGAAAGTCTGATCAGCTGTAATAGGTTAGTGTTAGCGGGACATAGATTGGATTAAAGCATGCTCAATGCACGCTTGCGTTGGCGCACGTTGATTGGCTAATTCTTGTTCAATCAGCGCTAGTCGATACTTGGAGAATACTCTAGAATCTTCTCATGTAAAAACTATAAATATAATAACGTTTATTTTATTGTGTTTTCTACTTCCATCTAACCTTGTTATTTGGAATATAATCTCTTTCCTGTTCAACCGTGTTCTGATTTGGGGCCTTGTCGAGTTAATTGGTGTCCGTGAATACTAAGCAATAGGAATAGCTGGGTTATAACCGTAAGAGAGAATTATAACAGTTAGTATCTGACAAAATCTCTGCACGGATTCGACAAGCTCGTTTGGCCTTTGCCAAATTGCGTCACCTATGATGAAGGCGAGATATACGTCTATCACAGATCTCTTAGAAATATTTCTGGTACCTGCTGGGATCACCCGGTAAGTAATAGTGAGGTTAGACTCAGGGTATTAGGGAATGAAGGTAAATCAGTTGGTGAGGTTGTGAATATCCACCCACTGGGATGGCCGGACCACGTGTTACGTATGCCTGAACACCGATTACCACGACGCGCAATGCTGACTAGTTTTGGAGACGGTTGGAAGAATGTTAAGGACCACCAAACTAAAATGTGGCATCAGTCCGTAGTCACCAACTTCTGGTCTGAGTGGTGTTGGTAGATGCAGACTACTTGGTTGAAGTCCGCGTGACTATCGTAACCAATGGTTGGAGACTCTGGGTGACATGGCTCAGAATCGATCACAATGGCATAGGTGTATACACTCTCTATCTTCCCTTGAACCATGAGATTAAAATTACTTTATATCTTTCTTTCTACGAAATAATTCTTTTTCCATGTATGATATTCTTATACACAATCTTTCTTTTGTATATTACTACCATTGAAGTAACTACTTCTATGAATTCGGTGATAATCTTGTTGTGCTAGTGAGGTGTGACAACTTAGTCCGATGCATATATATGCCTGGTCCTACGTTGTAGGTGACTGACTGATTGCACTAACATATTTTCAGTAATAATAGTTTTTAAAAGAGTTCGCATGGATGAGGTATATAAAATGAAGTTTATATTTAATAATAAGGATGGGATTATTATAGAAAATATGAACTCACTTGATTCGAAACAATGAACTTAGAATTTGCAAATCGACAATTTGAGTAGGGTAGAATAGGCTTCACAGCAATAGCTACATCACTTTGTTGAAACAATGCATAGTTAGTTAATGAATAACAGCTTCCAATCAAGCAAACAGTATCGCCATATTCTTTCATTATTTGAATCATTTCACTAACAGCTTTTCAATAAGTAAATAAACAGAGAATGGTAATGAGATGTTAAGTGAGATGAATGATCTATAAAAGACTTACAGAAATATTCAACTTATTTATAAACAGTTCAACAGTTTTAGTAATGTTTGATAAGTCACTGCTGTTGATTTAATGAATTGAATACAGGAATAAGCGTTAACAAAGCAGAGATAGGATACTCTGATACTTGAGTTTTAAAGCTGGTAAAGTGCAAACGACGTTTCCATCATACATCTTGATTCTGGATGTTAGAAGATAAACTCAAGTTTGTGTGGCAGACATCATTTGGTGACAGGGATGAGTCCTCTGGTGTTTAATTAGTGATCTGAAAGGAATTTTGGCAAGCGAGTGAAAGCTTTTAAACATGAATGTATTTTTCATTTCAAGTTAAAATCCCTAATACAAATAAATTATAAAAAAGTGCTCTTTATAAAGTAGTGACAGAATTTTGGAAATATATATAAAAAACAAGTACAGAGAAAAAACAATGAAATTTATAAAGAGGTAGCTAAGGTAAATATCACTTTAAAATTTTTTTCACACTCAGTCTTACAGTTTTTCAAAATGAAAAAGGGAAGTTACAATTGCCTGAGATTTTGAGCTATATCTGTTAGCATCTCAAATAAAATCAAATACAAATAACCGTAGTTTAGCTGAGTGGGCAGTATTACTGATTTTTACATTATGAACTCATGACTAAGTTTTATTTACTGTTTTTATTCGGTGCTGAAGAAATAAAATGATAAAAGTGGGTGAATGGTTTTGAAACAGATGATAGAATAGTGTACTAAGAACTTATAATTTAGGTAATTAACTATGTCATTAGTTTACTAAGTTGTAATACATTCCGCATACCAAAATCAGAGAATCAGGTACTACCACTAAATCACAAATAATAATAATAATAATAATAATATCAACAGAATACTGATTTATAGTACGTAAAGTGCTCAGATGAAATGTATTGATTCATTTAGTCATTCCTGGCATCCTGTAACGTTTATTTATAATCCGCCCAAAAATACAAACGTTAACATGATCTAAATCGAGCTAAAAAAAGTCAGCAGAGTATTTTAAGATTTCCAACACTTTAAGGTCGCAAGAAAATTGTGACATAAAGTAAACTGTGTTCACAACTCTTTAATGTTGAGGGTGATAGAGGTAAATTAGACTGGCTTATACTCCAGTGACTAGATGAACATACTGAATTCCAACGGAAAAGCACTCAATTATTTAAAGTTCAAAAAAGGTTTTCGGCTTTCAATATATCTAAAATAATGACTGTAATAACTGCAACAGTTTAGAACAACTTCGAAAATTCTTAATATAATACATGTTGGAAAACATTTAAATAAGTATACCGTAAGACATTCAGCAAAGATATATGTATCAAAATATGGGAAAATGTGTCAATGGTTATTTTACTGTAAAAATTTATTTTAACTGTACTCGAAAACGAAACAATCGAGGACTATATAGGTAAGCAAGTCATAACCTTATACTGTACAACATGTTATTTAAATAATTATGCAATATACAACAATTAACCTTTAGGTGTACAATCAGTAAACAACGATACTTGTAATGGAACGTTATCGATATTTTCTAAATGTGGGCGTATGCTATCGATTCCACATGGCAGTCGGGACTGCAAAAGAAAGAGATAATGAAAACGTTAACTTAATACTAAATGAAGAAGTAGTTGAAAAATTACAGAGAGAGAACTATTACTTGTTAAAATACAACGAACTGGTCAAAAAGACAAATGGAATATATGTGACGAGAAATTATCCATACAAGTAATCATTTTCTCAGACCTTATAAATTGCGGTAAGTGCTTAAGGTTTCGAAATAATACATCATCGTCAATATATACCAGGATAAAATACCTGTCTAATGCTCTCTGGATTTAAACAATTCGTAACAAAAAAGCAACAACATCTGTGTATGCGTTGAAAGTATATGAGATTCAACCATTATTCATACTGAAGAATAAAACCCAAAGTGTAATGACAACACAATCAAGATGCGAAAGGCTTTTAATGAATCATTATTTCAAGGCTGTTAGACCACCACTGAAAACCTGGAAGCACTGGAAGGCCATTTCGTCCCAGTATCGGACTCCTCAGCATTACGAATCCAGGATCCCGCACGCGGACGCTTGACATCTAGACCACTAAGCCGGTATCCAACGGTGTCAGTGTCTAACTTCGAACAATCCACGATATTGCGCGACTATCTTCCGTTGTTTTCAGTGGGTAACTGACTCACACCCGACAGTTTAACTCCACTGGTAGGTATTAAGAAGGAGACTGCTTGAAGCCCGAAAACATTTAGTGATATTTTCGAAACAAAGCTTTAAGAAATGATAAAAAAAATTATGAATCTAAAAAGAATGGATGCAGACCACTAAGGTTTCTTATTTCGCTAAAATTCATAACAATATGAGAGGGAAAAGTATGATATTTTGAATTCAAGACATGTTGATGCTTGTTTAATTCAAGACACTTACTGGTACCCAATCAAATGGATAGTTAGCATGATGCTTACATAACGGCTCAAGAAAAAGCTGTTCCGATTTATAGGAATATTAGCACCAAGAATTTACTGCTGATTCGTAATATTCAGTATGGATAATTTTCAATGCTCAATAGCGTATTAGTTTCTGTAAGACTGTGAATATAATTTGTAGATGAGAGCAATTATCCCGTAAAGGCAAATTTTTGAATTATATCCTGGTCTTATGAAAGCAAACAACAAATTCCTCAAAATAAACATCGACTTTATAACTTTAGTATTGATTATGTTATTTATGAATTGTAACATTAGATGGATGTAAAATTAGTCATTTATTATGTTCGATAATGAGATGATATTGAAATGTGAAGACAAAATTATTCTGGACAGCGTTTCAACAAAAAGAACTACAGAAAATTACCTTGTCCCTGACCAACAATTCCGACAATTTTAATTCTTCAGAATTGTTGCTTCGTCCATCTACTGAGAGCGATACAGAACTAGTTGAATTACTTGACGTAGACAAGTGATATGACCCGAATGATTCCTTTGGACCGATTTCGTTTGAACGAATCTGCTGAAGGTAACTGGCAGATACAGCATGAGTGAAATTATTGTTAATGTGATCATGAGAGCATGAAGATTCGAAGTCAGAATAAATTTGTCGGAAATTCAAACATGGAGAGATTGATTTCAAATAGTTTGCTTCACAATACTCAGGAAATGGAGTAGATTGAAAGAACTGTGGATCAGATGTGGACCCGAATTTCTTCCCAAAATTTTGTAAAATATAAATGAATAATAAATAGCTGTTTACTACAGATTGTTATTATTACCGTCAAAAGTGTTTCATTGAAAATTTTAGGGCACAAATTAACATAAAAAAGTTTGAACTATTCTGTCCCATTCTGCTATCTACAAAAAATTCCCCTACCAACAACTAAGAGAGAATCGTGTCTAAATGGTTTAGGCATCTAACTATCAATTGCTGAGTTGTAATTTCAAGTCAATACATCACACCACAAGGGTACATGAACTTGACTAGCCTTGATAACTCAACACAAAGGGTATGTGCATGCAAAGGATTCTGTCAGTCATGGTGTGAAACACTATATTAGTAGACGCTAATAGTCAACAAATTAAATGGGATTTGGGTAGCCTGTATCATAAAAAAGTACAATAATATTATCCGAGTAATTGAGGTCGAAATTCACTTTTCAGAAAACTGCTTTATAGTACCAGTGTTTTTGCAAATCTATCTGTCTCCAAGATGTCGTTAATGCCAAGATCGAAGGGAACGACGAGATCGGGGAATCCTGCGCAACACCACTGCTGGATTGGATCAATGGAGATAATAAACAGATATGGAAAGTGAATAGCATTGGAATCCAGGACGCGCATTTCCTCCTATATGGGACTCGTCAGCTAGATGTACCTGCATTCCAGAGTTAATGTTCACTCCGGAACTCGAACGAACGAAACTCGAGTCCTGGACTCCACTGCAAGCCATCATCCATCTATGCATATATTGTTTGTGACTTAATACAATATCGAGGTAACCACCACAGGATGCACATATACCAATAAGAGACTGATCAATTGCAGCCCTAAACATCAATGGGAAGATTCAATCAACCAATGAAAAAATAAATTGATAGAGATAATATTTTGTTTAGAGTTTTCAGAATGTTGATAGACGTACGACATATTTTTTTGCGGATAGTCCTAGGTCAAAGTCCTATTCAACGAACGAGAGGTGGGGTAAATATCAAGAGGCGAAGTGATTGATATCTTGGAATGAGTGAGACAGTGTTCAAGAATCAGTTTAGGCAAATGTTCAGAAAGCAGTGACTATCAAAGTTAGTAAATATGTGACCAGAGATTGATTTACTCTTGGTTTATAAAATGAAAGTAAATGATATTACTATCAATTTTCGTGTGAAAGGCTAAACATCGGGAAATACAGTTCGAAAAGGAATGAATTCGATAAATAAAGAGTACGAAACAAAATCGAAGCTCAAGGATAAAGGGGAGATAAAGAATTCTATATGGGTCACTGTGGCCAATTCTGAACCACGTCACTCAACATCTCCAATTACAGATTGAGGTTGGCCCAGACCAGTCCCGAAGATACATTTGGTATTTATAAGGAGGAAACACATCCCAAACATTCGTGGATATGTCATGATGCATGGTGTTCAAAATCTGACACTGATACATAACGTGCTACGTGCCAACCCCCACCCCCAACTTACTACATGAAGTCAAGAGTGAAGGAGAAAGTTTACTAGGGCACCGAATAACATTCATAAACGCTCATATATAGACATTTTTATTCCTTGAAAATCAACCCATTTCTTATCCGATGGTATGTATTTGTCCTTTAGGACATTTCTGATTGGCAAGTGACCCTCCTGATTGGCACGCTATATCAGGATTGTCACTCGAAATAGCCAGAAGGCTTTACATTATTTCTGGGTCTCCAATGAACACAACTATGTCATCAGTATATTCCAAGTCAACAAGTCAATCTCTTTGTAGATCAACCCCTAAAAATCCAAACAATCTAAGTTTCCTCTCAATAAATGTCTATAATTTTGGTAAGTAAAAGAAGTAGAGACCTAATAAACATTATTCATTGCTTTCAGTTCTGCTAACAATCTGTCATAACCTCAAATACAACTGTTGGAGCTCGAGCAAAGAGCCTTCAGATGGTTCACGTACTTTTTTAGTACACAGTTCAGTTAAAAAACTGCTTCAAAACCACCTGGCATACGGAGTTAAATGTTGCCCTCAGATCGGGAAAGATGATTGGTTAGTCAAGTGTCGGTACATATGTCTGTTCTAAATTCTGCCAAAAGATAAAGCTTTTCAGGATACATACAAATCCAAGAATGACATTGGTTTTTCTTGCATTTGCTAATCATTAACTTCTTTTAGGCCTCAACTAATTCTCGAGGCTAATCATTCAGACGCCATATTCCTCAAAGTTACTTCTTTATGGCTATTACGCGGGAAATCTAGTCCGTTATTGTAGATTGGGATGATCGACGATTATGACAAGTAAGACGAGACTACATTTAGCTGTCCGGCTCCAGATAACATTGTAGTCAACTCCTAAAGCTGGACTACCATTCTTGGAGGTTTCTAGGGTCAACTGATCAGGTCCTGCTGCTCTCCATCACCTCAAATTAAATAGTCTTTGCAAACTTGCTAAGTTATCTGATTTGTGTCAATCTCCCATTTAGGTTGTATGAGAATAGCAGGTAACTGAAGAGTGATCGAAGGTCAGTTAATTGTTTGTTGTTTCTTAAAGTGTCTTACCAATCGTTTTAAACTCAGCGGAATACTGTTCTATCTTTTTCTGTAACACTTCCATCAGCACCACATTTTTAATATCGATTTCCTTGGTGAGTTTGAACAGTTCCCAATAGGTGTTAATCGCCAATGTCTTCTCCATCTTTTATTTTTACAGACCAACAGTACTCACAGTCATCACGTAGAAATTTTATCAATCTGCTTCGAAATTTCCTTAGCTATTCATCGTTATCAGAACCTGAAGTGATGGGTCTTCAAAGATTCATTAATTTGGTAAAGGCTTCTAGATCACTGAATTCATGAACCGATGAATGTTAAACCGCTACTGAAAACTTGGAAGCACTGTATAGCCGTTTCGTCGTAGTATGACACTTCTCAACAGTGCGAATCCACGGTCCGGCATGTGGAGCTCGAACATGGGACCTTCAGTCTCGCGCGAACGAGTTCCAGTGAGAAGCTGTAACCAGTGGAGATTAATCGTGCCGGGTGTGAGTCAGTTACCCACTGAAAACAACGGAAGATAGTCGCGCAATATCGTGGATTGTTCGAAGTTAGACACTGACACCGTTGGATACCGGCTTAGTGGTCTAGATGTCAAGCGTCCGCGTGCGGGATCCTGGATTCATAATGCTGAGGAGTCCGATACTGGGACGAAATGGCCTTCCAGTGCTTCCAGGTTTTCAGTGGTGGTCTAACGTTCATCAGTTAATGATCTCAATAAAACAACCCCCACAGCCCTATATTGCTTCTGGACCAGCTGACTATTCTCAATTTTCTGGTCTAGGTTGGTAACAAATACCACTGTTTTTACAACAGTGAACTGTAGATCATGGCATGCTACTTCAAGATGAACATCCTCTATATGGTCGACTAAATGCTTAGTTAACTGTCCTAAACATATCTTTGACATTTGCATTTTCAAACTGAGCTCAAAAAGGTATCCTGAGGACTTTTTGTGTCCAATAAGCCATAAATAAACACGAGCTCACAAAACAGAGTGGTCGGAATCTAGATAGAAATGAGATTCATCAGTCGAGCCCTTCAAACGACGACTGATAGTAATATGATCTGTTTGTGTTCATTCTTGTGACGTCGGTGGTCTTCAGGTTACACAGTATTTGCTACCGTTCAAAGTTGTTGCTTACAATTACTAAAGATGTCTGAAAAGATACAAAAATGGTCGCCAGTTTCTGTCCACTTAGCTGAGATGCCAAAATACACGCCTGAGTATCTTTCAGTTCCACTTAGCCCACCTGCTTGGTCGTTGAGATTATTAACGATAATTGCTACATCTGGTAGTTTAGCTTTCTGGAGGTTAGATAAATCTCCATAGAGCCTGTCTTTTATTTCGTTTGTGTTGCAATAAGTGAGGGGGTATAGGCAGAAATGAAAACATGCCAGCGCTTAACACTATTTCTGAGTCCTCGTTATACCACTTAGTTTGGCGGCTCATAAGTAACTCTCGAGAGGAATTCATTCGAGGCGTACATGTTGTCTTTCAACTTAGTAATATTTTAGTGGCCCGATAACTTGACGCCATTTATGTCGGACGATGTTGTCGACAGGTTCACCACTTTTGTGGCCCTGAATCTGAGTCCAATTAGATCGTATCTTGATCGCTATCGAAATATACATATCGCTAATCCTCATATATAATCATCGACTTGAATCGCGTTAGTGAATAACGGAGTTAAGTAAGCCACATACGAGAATGAATTTTGAATATGTATGTTTCGTGTACACACTGATCTGAACAAACAATCAGGGAGACGAAACAAAAAGGAAAGAGCGGAACGGATCGGAGAAGGCAAGTATGCCGACTTGATTTAATCGAGTATTATTTAATATTTATAACCAGATAAGACTAAGCTACAGGGAAGATAAGATGTACACGAACATACGCTCATCTAAAAACAGTCAGAATAAATAAGCCAATAAGTGACAAGGTCAAAATGTGGTTTAAGAAGAGTGAATAGATTGTCTTGTTCGGAACCTAGAATAATCTATGTGAGTTTAACATATTACATAACGTTACACTATTCCCCGCAATATACTTACATTGCAAGACAATGAGTTAATGTCGGGTCTCCAGATACACACGAGGATAGGTACAACTGGATCTCCATACTGGCTAGATGTAGTCAAGTGAATGACCACACCAGCATCCTGTTTCCGTATTTCGGAGACAGCATATATGGATGACACAAGACTCTAGAGTTTCACAAGGGTATGTAATAGTAATATACTGATCCGAAACACTTTTTAAATATATGGCTTTACAACATAAGTAAAGTAGTTGGAGCGTTTTATCTAGGTTATTTAAAGACTATGTTTTGTGTAGAGCATCTGAGTGTTACGTATTCTATGGATTGCATTCTAACCACTCACTTGCAAGAAAAACAATATCCATTTCATGAAAACTGACACGAAAATGACAGAAAAATGTCCGTTTCGTAGAATGATTTATTTTCTGAGTGATATTGTGGTACGCGCTACTTATATTGATATAATAAGTAGTATATAACGCGAGATTGAAACATAATGTCGGGCAGCAGAAGATGGAGAAAAATCAAGAGAGGAAGAGCGGCAACACAATGGAATTTGTATGAAAAATCATGAACAATGAAATGTCAGTCAATGGATTGATATTTGCAACAGGAACAGTTCAGTTTAATATGAAGGATTGATATTTTGCAAATTAACGATTTAATATATGGTCTTTCTATTTTACCAATTAACTCTGTAATTTGAGCTAAATACAATTGGGTTGTCCTCACCAGTGTTCTGCTTCACTACAATATCCCCAAAAAAATCTGATCTAGCCTTTCTGAAATTACATTTACTATGTAAACCTGCCTTCAATGTTTGTACATCGATGCAGATCATACAATAGATAGGTCTGGCTAAAAATTCGAAAAGTCCCGATATGCATGTCTGCTATATATTTGAGACTTATATTTAAGATTCTGGTCAAGTAAAACAAAGTTATTCGCCATCTGCCAGTTCGAGAATTTTGTTTGACTCTATTGAATCAGCTTCCCGTTTCCCTGGTGCTAGTGTCACACTAAGGAAATATTGCTGGAAAAATTGGACACTGATTAACAGTCGCTTATGCACTTTTAGGTTAGGGTACATCAAAATAAGAAACAGAGTGAGAAATCATGTTTTCTGTTATCTCTACCTACATACGAGGGGACTGCATTTCGAGTGAAACTAACACTGACTTTTATGTCCGAATTAGGTCAAATTCATGATAAATCATATTTGATAGATTTGTTGTTAGCTGGGGACTTAAATGAACAAGTAGGTGGGTCAAGGGACAGAGAAGAGGTCATTTGAGTGAATAATGAGGACTCGATGGTCATAGGTTAGATGACGGAGACAGTCTCTATAGTTTTGTGAAGAGTTCAACCTGTTTCTGGTCAGCGCCAAATTCCAGGAAAGTCATCGCCAACATGTCAACCAGTGTCCTTTCTATAAAACTGAGCGGTGGACTTAAACTGGTCATATTGCAGTCAACAACCTATGGTGTGGATGTGTCGGTGACAGAAGTTTTGCTTAAAACCTGACAATCTTTTGAGATCATGTTTTATCATCGATCCCCAAAGGATTGCTCACATAAGGTTCAGTTTGAGAAAGTGTTTGATATTATGGATGCTAACGATATCATCAAAATGTGCAGTGACATACAGATTATCCAAATCGCAGTGAGAATATGGCATCATTGCCAGTGAAGTAGAGTTAAAACCAGAGCTAATTGCAGAGATATCTTGCATGGCCATGACAAAAGAGAGGAATAATATAAAAAACACATATATGCTAAAAAAATACATCATTTAGAGATTAGTTAGTGAAGTTCTAAATAATCACAAGTTTTTTCTTATATTGAAGAGCAGATGTAAGAGTAATCTTAATCTAAATGAAAATATTTATAAAACATAGATCACCTTTCTGGAGATTTGTACCAATTGAGTTATTACTGTCATCGAAACAATCTTAAGTAAATACACCCACTTACTGAAAGATATGACGTTGCTAGTGCCGGAGAACTTGACCATCGCTTAGTCTGATGAGAACCTTATCGAAGGTAAAGAATAAAAACGCAGTTAGAAGATAGAAAAATATCTGTTAAAATTAATGTAAGATCAAATTACTTACCAACAAAGTATTTTCCTTCAGTGACGAACAAATCAGTTCCAAATGAAAATTTATTACTTTTACGGCATTCTTTAGGCAGATCAACGGATTTGCGATTACTAACAGGATTAGGACTCTTAAGCGATATATGACAATTCCAACCACATTCTAAGCCCAAACGTTCAGCGAACACTCTACTTCGAAGTTCATTTTCCTTAACAAAATATACGAGAAATAACAATTTTACAAAATATAGCAGTAGACCAACCCGTGTTATTTAAGAAAAAGATAATTAATAATAGTGTCGCTAATAAGTTTCTGGGAAAGGTAATTATAAATTAAGATCGGGAAATTCGCTCATTGAAAGCACTGAAGATAGTTTCAAGGGTTGAAAATTAAAACGGAATGTCCTGTAAAAAGAACTAATAAGGAGAATTTTTAGTGGTCACTCTCTTGAATAAGTCTTTTAATAATACACCTCGAACGATAAACTAAGTGTCATAGTGGTCTATTAAATAATAATCATATATTTAATGACCACCTATTAAGCATATTGTTTAGAAACTCCGACGCACCATACGCTGCGTAAAACAAAACTATAAATAATACGTCGTGTAATGTTGTGAAAGAAATCCCATCAAAACATTTCAAGAGATTAGTATCGTTACTGCTAGGAATAGTTAAACATATATATTATGAGATTGTACAGTATGTGTAAAGACGTAAAAATATAAACTATTTAACTGACATTATAAATGATTCAATAATTTCCAGTTATAAATATAGTCAGACAAAAAACCATCCTATCAAACAAGTCCTTTGCAGTACCTTAATAAGAACAAACACAGAATAATACTAAATACAAAATATACAGTTTATCAGTGAACGTGTACAATGACTTCTGAGTTACCCTTGTAGCTCGCGATACTATTGGGTTGCTGAGATCAAACTAAGTTAATTAATTTTTGGAACCATGATATAATGGTTAACAGTTGAGTGGTTTTATTAACTTACAGGGAGTGGGTTGTCTAGGTTTACTAGCTACTTATCAGCCACATACTTTACAGAAATGGGCACCAAACTGGAGTAAGTGACATGACCATCAGATTATTGTTAAAAGCTACGGATAATTGCTAGTCCTTTATTTCTTAATAACCGTATTTCTATGGAAGTATCTCAAAAGTAGTTTGGCATGAAATAACAACGATAATACTTACCAGACAATTGTGACTTACTCGAGAAAAATGTACAAATCGTATACAAGCTTGATGAAGTTGTTTAATGGACTTCACAACTTGAGGATTTGCCTGATACTGCATACTTATTAGACCTAAGAATATTTGATTATACAGTATATTGTCCACTTCTTTCTGATCAATACGTACATTACTCCTACAACATAATGGCAAAAAGATGAGGGAATTGTGAAAAACATTTACAGGAGTTATTTAGATAAGGAAATACAACTGCTATGTCTAACAGGGGTCCAACATATAAGAGACTGAAAGTTTTCTGAACAAATGGTCATTGGGAATCAGCTAAATACTGAACTTTTATGATAATAAAACTAGTGGCTGCATTTGATTTTAAAAGTGGTTTATGAATTTCGTAATAATCATTTATTTAAGATTTAGAAGCACAAAGTTGCAAAAAAATTCTGAAAATATTTTTGATTTGTAATGTAAATTTGTTATCGCATACCAATAATTTATGCAAAAGGACAAGCTTGCTCTTTAAACTACATGATAGATGTAACAGGTTTTTTAAGTTAGATTTAATAAATTAGGTGGTGGAATACGAAAGACAGTAACATAAAATCTTGAATAAAAGTCCATTGATTTGAGGCACATGGAACTAAAAGATGGTTATTAGAATAACTAAGAACATAAATGAGGAATAACAAGACAACTAAAATTTAGACAAGGATTTGGAGTGGCTGTAGCTGGATTATTATGGAGCGGACCGCCAATTTTTATTGCTGTATCACATCAAATAGTTTAAGTTTTTCCAAGCGTATCCAGCAACTAGAGAGTGACTTTATTAATTGATGGAATTTCTTAGTTTGGCTAGTAGCGACTTTTTTAAACTAATCCTGCTTTAATTAATATTGTATGTCGGAGTAGGGAATATGGTTTATTGTGAATGACACATGGTTCAATAACCTTAATTTACGCAAGCTGGACACCTTAGTAACTAAGTTTACTCTTTTGGTGCTTCTCCCTTGAGATCACTTAAACTATCGCCTAGCCATAGACGTGAATGGATTAAAGATGACTTTGACTGTAAATCAACAAAAGTACACACTTCATCTACTAGCAGCAGATCAGCACAAACTTTACTGATACACATGAAGATTTGATTAATACATTCATTCCTAAGACTTAAATCTTAGTTTTATTGGGTTTGTTGTACCCGATTTCTAGTTGCATGATGAATTGTTGTGAACTCTAACATCTTAAAGACAGTTTCAGCAAAGCTGTTTCTTTTGTAACTATTAAAAAAAGAACTTTGTTCTCTTTAATAAACTGGCCAAGATTTGCTATTTTATTTTATCTCTGATTTATCAAAGCCTTTCTAAATTTAGTTTTCATTCAATAATATTCGGGATGTGATTAACTGTACACTGACTGAACTGCTCTTCACAGTTTACGGACCAAATTTCCAACATCTAGTTAGAAAATGTTAGTGTTCTTTGATGTTGCTGTTAGTGACTGGCTTCTTCAGGTGAATCTCTTCAGCTTCTCCCACTTTCTAACTAACATATGTGGAACTGCATTTACAATCAGTCAGAGGACTGTTTTACAAATTCTCCCCAAAATGATACTTGTTTTAGACTAAATACATTAGGATTGCATTAGGAAAACAATCAACAAAAACAAATCACCTTACTCACTTCTTATCATGATCCAAGTTATCAGCGTTACTTTTGCAATGATCATCAGTTTCCGAAACAAAATTAGCATTTGGAAATTCATTCAAAACCAAACAGTTACTATCACACTCACCAAAATTACTATTTATTCGATTATGGTCAATTCGATGTTTTCTAGAAAATCTATCACTTCTCTTAGACGGTGAATGTTTTAGAAGTTTATCATTTGAATACGTTCCTTTCGTTTTATCATACTTTTCTTTTTTTCGATCGGTATGCTGCCAATATTTAGAGAATGAATTAAAACCGACGTTTTTCATATCCTTTATAAATTTTAGTTGATAATTACGTGGTCTGTTGGGTTTTGAAATAGCTTGAGATCTTCTAGAAATATCACTGTCATGAACAATCCTGTTATAAATGGGACTGATACTGTTAATATTGTCCGTAACACGCGGTAGTGGAGAACGATTTGAATATGATCGACTGCAAACCAGGTGTTCAAATACCTTTCGCTGTATTACTGATGAAATATCATCACACTTAATTCAATAAGAGAAGAGAAACACAAAAGAGAGTATTGCTATGCACTGTTGTAAATTTAGAAATAGAAATGTTTTGCTACTGGGGTCAGTATTAAACCCCACATTTACATAATTGTAGTTGATTATTACGTTGCACAATTTGAGGTAATACATATGATCAAACAAAATATTCCTCTAAATATCAAACATTTAAATTGAAATTACAAACTAATCAAAGACAGACAACCAGTAGGATCCTATAATTGGACGTAACGGTCGTCCAGTATTTACAAGTTCTCAATGGTTGTTTGACTTTGATTAGTTCATGATTCAAATGAAGTTGGACAATCTACACGCCTCTACACTGTCAAACGTTTTCATTACTTTACAGTTATGTGTATTTTTACTAACACATTCTCTTTATTATGTTTATTTCCTTACTTTTTTCCATCAGTTGAGTCTGTTTTCCTCTGATTTTGATAATTCGAGCCATTTTGATCGATGAACTTATTTCTGAAGTTTGCGTGCTTCCATCCCACGCGAAAGGAATTTAAGCACTTTCTATGCCTGTTTAATATAATGGTTTGTTTTCTGAATACTACCTGAAACACTAGATACTTCCAAAGATACATGAATATTTTTATTGGGAGTGGTTTGAGATCAATTAAAACCAGACCTTAGAATGACTTATATCTGCAGTTACAAACAGAGCTGTTTATCAGTTATGAGTGTATGTGCATACATATTTTGACAATATGCTAACAGATTGTGGTGGACAAGATCATGCCGAGTAATGACTATGAAGTTTTTGGAAGTATCCACAAGATAAACATCCTGACAACCCTTCTAGAAAGGTGTGGTTTTCGATCATTATTTGGGAGTTATAAAATCCAGAAAAGTGAAGGAGTCTTTTGCTAACAAAGTCATAGTAATTTTTAATCTATGTTGTGTTATAAATCATTATTAACTAACTATCTCAGGTAATAAGATTTAAATAATAGTAGGTCAATTCTGAAATATCCAAACTGAATGTTCTGCATTTATTTCTATCAGTTTTGTGTTAAATGAGTCATTAAATCTAAATCTCAATGACTCGAGAAGTACAATTGAGTTCGAACACATTAGGATCATATTAAACTGTCAAGTTTTAGGAGAAAACGTCCTTTCATCCGCTGATAGGAGTAAGTGGCTTTATAAAACAAACTTGAATTGTGATGGACAAGAAAATATTTATCATATTTGAGGAGGTAAAGTGAATATGACGACGGTAAATATGTATGAATTTGCAGAGATAAGGTAGTGAGTTATAGAGAAGGGATATGTAATCATGTTTTATAAGCTCTGTATCATTTAGAAAACAATCATGAAAATAAGAATTAGAAATACTAAATCTTACTCCTGGTAAACGAAGCATGAAGATATCTGACGAACTAGGGAGATTACCCAACAACAGTCTATAAGATTCCTCAATTTTATCAACCAACGGAGAATAAGCGAATCCAATACAGTATGCAGACGACAGATGACGATTGTGGAACCCCAAGATTAGTTCACGTTCTCTGTCTGACAGTGGTACAATATCCCGCCCATCCCAAACATCAGAACACAAGCTAGCAAGAATATCACCAGTACCTTGAGACAGCAGTTGATAACCACCTTGGATATTTGGATCAGAGAAGACAGAGCTAAAGCAATAAGCCAAATGAATTCGGTCCTACAGTGAGTAAAAATTAAATTTCGATAGTTAGCATTACACTATTTTGGAAATCCAACTGACTGAAATGGGTGTATCCAACCAGACTCAACAGTAAAATATATTGCCTTAACTTTTTTACACGGATTACTTGACAAAAATCAAAACACGTATAAATATGGAAGTAAAAGTGTACGTTTATTGAAATATGGTGTGATCATACACCAGTTGAGTCATCATAACACCATTTATGAAGTAATGTACGACGATAATGTGCTAAAAAATCAGCTGTTTTGATTCTTTAGGTTTCCTCAACTAAAATCTGGAAGCATTGAACGGCCGTTTCGTTCCATTGTGGGACTCCTCAGCAGTGCGCATCCACGATCCCAACTCGCGAGGATCCGAACCCAGGACTTATCAGTCTCGCACGCAAGTGTTTAACCACTAGACCACTGAGCCGACATCCAACGGTATTAATGTCTAACTTCAACTAATCCACGAAATTTAGTGACACATCCACCATTGTCTTCAGTGAGTTACTATCTCACAACAGACCCGGTTGAACTCCACTGGTCACTGCTTTTCACTAGAACTCCAGGAAATACCTTGGCGGGATCGTGGATGCACACTGTTGAGGAATCCCACAATAGGATGGAACGGACGCCCACTGCTTCCAGGTTTTCCATGATGGTCTAGCTTCGATTGACTAATGATCCCAAGCATTGAAATTACTATAATATCCACAAAAACCCTTCCGATAAAATCTTATTGATGACTTGAGTTAATACCACACAGAATAAGAACAGAAAAAATATCAGAGGAGTAGCGAAAGTAATACTAGCATTATTGGCAAACTGAAAGGGATAAAGAAGTTCGGACGAAAGATCATGTCAAATACTTAGAGAAGAGCAAAGAATGGACTAATCTAAGTCACCAAAGCAAATTGTCCCATGGTTCCAACGACTGATTACAGTTAACTAACGCATAATTAGACAACATTATTGAATATAGTAAATAACTTTTAGAATAATCAACACATTAGTACTATGGTTCGGTATAAAGCTTTGTTTGAAATTAAAAAGCTACTGTAAAGTCATAAACACCAAAAACGTAGGACGAGTGGAGTGGGTTTTATGTACAAGTAACAGTGGCATACTGTCTATAAAACTCAGTTAGTTAAACGACTACTTCTTAAAGGAGTATGGAAAATTAAACACTATGCAGTTGGGGGGTCTCTAAACTAAGATTACGCTAGTAACCAACTTGAATCACTCAGTTGTATCTATTAATTGTCTTGAGAAACTGAGTAGTCTGTTAAATTAACGGTAATCATTCAGCTTTGCCGATAATCTTCATTACATTCCTGTTTTACTGTGTGATAGTTTAAATCGAAAAAAGCTATGCACATGCTCTTATACGGACAGTCAGTTAGCCTCAAAAGGTACTTAGAGAAAAAAAAGAAAAAAAGGATAGTAGTTATTCTATGAGAAACGAGATGACATTTACCTTGCACCATGAAGCTAGCCGGTTATAAAGAAACAAGATAACACCACAAAAACAGTTAAGCAATTTAAACAATTAGAGTCAAACCTACATAATTTGTGTTTTCTTTTGTCGGAAGGATTTCTTCGGAAGATAATTTACTTTTTACATCAGTAGCGTTAGAATTAGTAGCATATGCAGCTGAGCAAATGGAATAAGCACCCAAGCATCCATGAGTACCAAAACCACTTAAGGCACCATCACGAAATCCTATCTGGCTGGCAAGACCACACAGACAGAAAGTAAGCGGCAGTGCAGTAATACATGATGAAGAATCGAAATATTTTTGAGTTGCATTTACTTTTTCAAAAAAGCCGATTCTTTGTTTCGCAATAGCAGAGTGACAATTGTTGAGAAGAATCGATAAACCTATTGGTTTAAGCGATGAAAGGAAACGATCCCAGCGCGGCTTTTCGAAATGCGATAAAAAGGGTCGATAAAAATCGGTTCGTAAGTCTAGAACTACCGGTGCAATACAACTGCCTAGTGGAAACACAGCACTTCGTTGAAAACCAGGTGTCTCATTAGGATCACAGTTAGTAGGTAGCTGATTTTGGATGGGACTTTGAGTCTTGTAAAGTTCTCCTTGATTAAGTTCAACACACTACGAATTTGAATAGAAATTGAATATAACCAAGTTTTGAAATAAATGATTTATTTCATCAATATACAAAGTAATTTTGATTTGGGAATCTCTTTACACATTAAATCAAAAGTACAAAGTTTATTCATGGTGATAAAATGATTGCTGACGTTCAATAAATTTCTGCAACAATTAGTTTTGTAAATAAATTCACACTGAGATTTTATTTAAAATAGACATTTCATTTCTAAGAATAGTAAAAGTAATTTCAATGATTAAGATCATGAGTCAGTTGAAGCTAGACCACCATGGAAAACCTGGAAGCACTGGACGGCCGTTCCGTTCCATTGTGGGACTCCTCAGCAGTGCGCATCCACGACCTCGTCCCCTGCGAGATTCGAACCCAGGACCTACTGGTTTCGCGCGCGAGCACTAAACCACTAGACTACTGAGCCGACATCCAACGGTATTAATGTCTAACTTCAACTAATCCACAAAATTTAGTGACACATCCGCCATTGTCTTCAGTGAGTTACTATCTCACAACAGACCCGGTTGAACTCCACTGGTCACTACTTCTCACTAGAACTCCAGGATATACCTCTTGAAGCCAGTCACTAGTGAGCATATGTTGATTATTATCAGAAGGAGTGGGTGCACACTGTTGAGGAGTCCCATAATAGGACGAAACGGCCGTCCAGTGCTTCCAGGTTTTCCATGGTGGTTTAGCTTTAACTGACTCATGATCTTAACCATTGAAATTACTGCAATCTCCACAAAACCCCTTCTGACTATTAAATTGGTGGAAAGACAGCAAGGTATTCAGCTGAATAGTTCTAGATTACTAAAACCAAGTCTCCCAACACAAAAATGAGACAAATTTTTTTAGACGTTAGATAATTAGTGACTGTAACGGGGCAAAATTTTGAATGTAATACTTCTTATCCATTACATCGCTGATGGTGAAATAAAAATGACGAATAATTTTATAGAATTTACCTGATAACGAGGATAATACGCTAACATTTCACCATACTACCGTTATATTTCGCTAATTTTGGGTGGTTATTTAAACCCACCATCAATAGATTTTCAGACACTGATAAAAAATACCCGGGATCGGTAAACTAGTTCATAAAAGTAACAACCTAAGAGAATATATCACGGGTTCTTTTTCTCTACTGGACGAATCTACATAGTACAACCGGTAAAGTCATCCACAAAAAAATGAATATTAAAAAGCAGTCACATAGACGACTGGTCAACAGATTCTGTATGCATGGACGAAAAATTAGATTTCTGATACTTGAAATAAGAGTACTGCTTAAAGAATACTAACCAATAAATAATGGTGCGAACCTATCTAAACTAAGAAGCCTGAACCATTATGTTTGAAATGCTTCTTCGGGAAATACATAGTGCTGAGTGGTGAAGAAGGACGACAGGTTAAATGGGTATATTAAAATATGATTTTAACTCATGAAGTCACTGGATTTCGGTCTGAGCTACATCGGAAGAAGCAAGCTTAGTTGTTAGTATCTTCTTATGATTAGAAATCAGCGACTGAAACATATAGATGAGATCACTATATCATAACGTTTTGTCTGTTCATTATACCTTTTTCCTACATATCCTCTTTTGAGCAGCTGAAAGCAGTGGCAACCTAAAACAACATACGTCCACAACCCCATATTGAATATGTGTGGAAATAACACTCTTTCTAAAACAATTATGAAGTAGCCCCACACTAGAATGTAGACTCCCTGTGATTTCAGGTCATTTGAAGCTATTTTAATGGTTCTCGAGTCAAATGAGATAAATGGTTCTATAGTTAAGCTTCGATTATCTTTCTGAACTATTATTGCTACAAGCTTCAAACAAAAGTTGCTTAAAAAGCAAAAGTTACTTGTTTTTTTGTGAGCGGAAAACCCGACATGTTTAGCTGTCCTGATTTAGAATTTTGATGTTCCAAACGTTCTTCCGCTTTTGAGTTTGATTTATAGACAACACTTCGAGACTTGTTTGTACCAAAACTCTCCTGATGGTGATGATTGTGGTGGCGTCTATGGAAGAAAAACATTTTCTCTGGAGTTGGTAACGACTGACTTATAACACCTTCTTGGTTGATACAACACACGGAACTTAGTGTTCCCAAAGTAAGTACAATATTTTCCATATCTACGTTCGTCTGAAAGTAAAACTATGATTACAACACCTTTAAATAAGCCACCGTAGAATCATGTAAATGATATATTAAGAAAACATTTCGTAGATAAATAGAATGCAATAGTAATTGTAGTTGTAAGTAACAAGACATGTAGTATAGAATTATCAAATAATTTACCTTTACGTTTATCAAGTTACTTCCAATACACTTCATTTTTTCAGGTTCATTTGACGTAACAAAGTGGAAAGTCCCTCCTAGTAATCCTGTTACACCATAAAGTTAGTAACGAACTAGGAGTTATTATTGAAGTTAAAATGTTAATAGATATATGTAGTATGTATCTCGCTATGGATTAATCGATGACGATATAAACTAAAATCAGAAAAATCGAGTGCATTTGGTATGCAAACTGACTACTTAAACACAGTTTTGTGTAGAATTGGCTGCCTAGTTTTTTATCCAAGTTAAAGAATGACTAATAAGGCTTATCCCACTAATTAAGACGATAGAGCAGTACAATTTACGTCAAAAATAAATTGCCTTCACAGTTAAAAGCCTCTACCTTATTAAGCTTGTTCACTTTGCTATATTTAAAATTGAGTTTACGCATTTCTAAAAAAAACAGTTCTTTGTCGTCAACTCGTGAGATTATTAACTGGTAGACTGAGTTGTATTTTTATGTGTAAACTACCTAATTTAGAGTCGGCTTGATTATTGTAATCAATCGGTGGGGACTTGGTGTGATATGGCTTGAAATTGCTCACAATGATGCAAATCCATCCACTCTATTTTCCCTGGGATTTCGACTTTAAAAATCGTCTTATGCGACTACCATTAATTTTTTCTACTACCACTGGTGATAATACCATTTATACTATTCCAGCAACCGTTTTGATAATTTCATCTCGTTGTGAATATACATAACAACCTGAACAAATGTACATGTCCCAATTTCTATGTTAAACATAAATGATTGAATAATTTCTGACCGTTTTGTATACTAAATACTGTTATCTAAGAACTAAAATAAATGCTACACTCAAGTATAACTCTTGAAGAATATCACTGATAGCCTCAGAATTCTCTGTTAATTCAACACAATCTTGTGTAAATCTTTAAAACACAGTATAACCTTTGAATTTAAGTCTCATTAGAGTCATTATTTAACAGAAAAGTATACCTACAGGACACCTAACGTCCATCAGTTATTAATCACCGAAAAGTAATGTCAAAAGAAAACAAAAACTGGTCCTCTAAAGAACCAACTTCTACTCTGAGAAGCAAACGAAGAGAAACCGGTCATTTACGGACCAGAGGGTAAACTGAGTAAATAAATAAACAAGCTTAATCTTACTTACCATAAAGCCAAAGTAGCGAAGATTGGAGATAAGCGAGTTAAAGGTTAACGCATTTGCTTTGGAAACCTTAGACATGTTGGGTTGGCAAAATATATGGGGGGATTTGATGTCATCCCCACCACTAAGTTTTAAATGATCCTGAGCGTTAGAAAGAACATTCTGGAAGTGGAATGTGACAACAGCAGTGGCAACCATCCATATGAAATACAATGAGAAGCTTGAAGAAGCAATAACAACACCAAGAGTGTGGGCAAACCAGATTAGCAAACGATAAGACTGATGACTAAGATCGCCAATAGGTAATGCGCAAATAAATATTGAAGTTAGAAAAATGAAAGTTATAGAACACTTGATAATTAAAGAAATCCAAACTGCAGTATTCACAACTTTATAAGCAAGCGGTTGAAACGTATAACCATTTTTAACTCTTGATCTAGAAGCAATACCAAGGTAAGAAGCCAAAGGAGAATGGATGACAACGGCTACCACAGACTCATCTGATTTTTGAATGGATGTAAACGAGGTAGGTATCAGGTTACAACTGAGTTTGTGAGGGACATAAACATCACCCGGAAAGTAAATGTGATTCTAGTTCAGAGGTCGAAAATTAAAAATGTAAATACTCTTACTTCATTTATTTGTTTGCAGAAAGCGAAGATTGTCTGACCTGGTTTAATAATAATAACATCACCTGGAACAAGCAAAACAGCAGGCAAAACCACGACTTTTCCATCTCGGATAGTAAGGTGGGTATCTAAACCAACCATCTCATTTAAAAGTCCATTTATACACGGTGAATATGAAAGCATATTCGGGTTCAAATTTCCTACAAACAATTAGAAACAACAGACTTACTAAGATAAGTGACGGAAGATCTTAAGAATGTTTTAAACTTTGTACAAGATGAAATTATCCTTTTATAATGCGTTAAGAACGTCAAGAACAAAAGGCTACTTGACAAGAGGACAAATAGCAAATCCCCAGCAATCGATATCCAGGAGTAGCTAGAAATATTGGACCAGTCAAACAAACTAGTTTATAGAACAGAAAGTACCTGGAGGAATATCGGTATGAAGCGACAGAACATGATATAAGAATAAGTGACACTATGCTCAACATAAGAGATAATATATCCGAACGAGACCAACTCAGCAATACAATACCATTTATTGGTCTTTCACTTAACGTTTCCAATATTTCGCAAAATAGTTCCAAAGCCACTGGAGTGTCTAGACCCTGACTCATTGTAAAACTGTAAGTATAATCGCCTCGACAAACGAGGCATAACAATAATCTTCTCAAGTCAACCTTGAGAGATTAAATCTTGCTCAAACACACAAACACTTTAAAAACTGACTCCGTTCAATGATGACGTGTTACAGTAAACAGGTATCCCAATGCTAAAATAATTGAATTCCGAGAATTCTATAATTTTCACGGTGATAAATGAGTAATCACTCACTGTTATACAGTTCAAAGATTAATCACACGAGTTTTTCTATAGTTTTATAAAGAAAAAGCCACATCTAATACTTAGCACACATTGTCAGTATTCATTATATGTACAGGGCTCCTAAAATGAAACTGTTATGTATCTGAATGTGGAATTTTCACGGAACCACCAACAACATTATATATTACTTACTACAGCGTTCAATTTATGTATAAATTGATCATATTTGTATCAATAAAAAATTCAGATGGACTATAGACGACGTGAGAACAAACAGAGGTACTAACATGTCTTCAGATCACCACCTGGTTGTGGTCAAGATGAAACTGAAGCTAAAAAACACTGAACGGCTGGGGAAACAGCAGTACAAAGGTTCCATACATCATTCCCTCGAGATACTAACAAACCCAAACAATGCAAAAAAACTTTCAACAACAGGTTCCAAACTTCACAATATCTACTGAAAAAAAAAGAACTAATATGGAGTAAAAATGGAAAGAACTCAAAAAATCACCCAGCTTGACGTGTCAGGAGGTTTTTAGCTGGAAGAAACTTCATCATAAGGAATAGAACTCTGTGGAAACCCTAGACAAGATTCAATAAAGGAATGATAAGAAGACAATGATTGCCAACAACCGAACAAGAACAGAGGAAGTCGATGCACAAGCTCGATACACAAAAGCAAACAAGAAAGTGAAGAAGAGTATTAGAGGTGACAGGCAGAAATATGTGGTAGACCTAGCAAGAAAAATGGATAAAGCTGCAAGAGAAGGAAACACCAGACAACTATTGACATGACGAAGAAACTGGTAGGGAACTACAGAAAACTAGAAAGACAGGTCAGTGACAAAGAAGGCAAGTCGATCACTCAAACTTCAAGAACAGAAGAACAGATGCGTAGAATACTTTGAGGAACTCTTGAATAGGCCAGCTCCGTTGAATCCGCTAGACATCGAAGCAGCATCTACGAACTTTCCTATAGATGTCACTTCACCAACAGTTGGAGAAGTCGGGATGAACATCAGGCAGATCAGGTATGGAAAAGCAGCAGGACCTGACATTACACCAGCCAAAGCACTAAGGTCAGACATAGAAGTAACTGCAAGCATACTCCATATTCTATCAAGGGAAATTTGTGAGAAGGGACAAGCGCCGACGGACTGGAAAGAAGGATGTCTCATCCAGGTACCAAAGAAAGGAGATCTGAGCAAATGTGAAAACTAAAGAGACACCAAACTACTATCGGTACTGCAGAAAGCTTCCAACAGTGTTGCTGAACTGGGTGAAAGATTCAGTGGACGTCGAGCTTCGTGATCGACAGCTCGGAATCCGTAAGGATCGGTCGTGCACAGACCAGATCGCGCCACTACAGATCATCGCTGAACAATCAATCCGATGGAATTGGTCACTATACATCAACTTTATCAGCTATAGGAAGGTGTTTGACAATGTGGATAGGAGGAACTTGTGGGAGCTTTCTTTGACACTATGGTATACATATGAAAAGCGTTAACATCATCCGCAATTCACATGATAGACTACACTACAAAGTAGTGTAGCAGCAGTTTCCGCGTCAGTAGGCCTTAACGTACACAAAGAAATAAGCCACATCCTGATAGATTTTCATGTACATGAACAGCATCATCGATGGACGTGAAGGATTGGCAAATCAAGAGCCTCATTCCTACAACTGGAGAACATATAGGACTGAAAACGGCTGTCTGTCAACATCAAAATGAAAATCTTTAATGCAAACATCATTACATTCATTTATATTATACGGAGCTGAGACTTGTAGGACTACCACGACCAGCATCAAAAAAGGTACAAGTACTTATAAACAATTATCTACACAAGATACTGAATGCCCGTTGTCTGGATACCATTTTCGACAGTCTACCTTGAGAACAAACCAGCTTCCAGGTGAAGTGGAAATTAGGAAAAGACGTTAAAAGTGGATAAGACGTACATTTAGGAAATCATCGAACTGCATCACAAAGCGAGTCATAACTTAGAATCCTGAAGGAGAACGAAGAAGTGTAAGGCCGAGGAACACATTGCATCAGGGATTAGAAGCAGACATGATAAAGATGAATAGCAACTGGAAAAAATCGGAAGGGATTGCCCAAGACATCGTTGGATGGAAATTGCTGATGGACAGCCTATGTTCCTCTCCCCGAGGGGTAACAGGTGTAAGTAATAAGTAAGTAAAAACTACGTTCAGTGTCATGGGAATTTAAAAAGCGGATAAGCATGTATGTCTGCATATGCACAAGATATTGACACTCCGTTGAATGTCAGACTATTCCAGCCAGTTAAAGGACTCTTGGTGCACTGTTTGCCTTATTAGGTGACGGCAGAGTCTTCAAAAGCTTTAAACGTTTTGATGAACCGTGTAAAATGAAATCTGTGACCTTCACCATAGCAGGAAAATTGGGAAATCACCTGGAGTTGTAAGCTCCCATCTTTGGTATATCCACAACTACATGGCTCTTCTTGTTAAGCAGTTTGTTCTTAACAATTAAACGCTTTAAAAGAGTATAAAAAATCAGCCAAAGGTGACAAAGGAATTTCATTTTTACTTTGGATCAGGTTCATTACAATGTTTTGTGGTATTCAGTGCCTCAAAATCCTTATATTCTCATCATTGAATAAGTTATGATAGCTGTTGAAGGGAACTAGTATATTGGTTTATCGTAAATGCAACGAAATTCTGCATCCCGGTACATACCACTCTCATCTTAAGAATCATGTACGTTTAACTAATACTGGTCTAAAGTTGTTATATCCCAACGAAAATTAAATTATGTGTAACTTCTGGGAATTATTTATGAACCGCTATAATGTGTTATATCCCGTTGAGCATTATGAATGGCAACTTTAGAGAACTATTTATGGACAAATATCATACGTATATTTTTAATGTATAACTATTCAGTAGCTAGATTGTGTATATTTTTACTCCTCTTATTACAAGCTTTATTCTGATCTATAAATTACTATTATACGATTTACCGCTCTTCAGTTATGTCCAGACTATTAATTACAGTCTCCCACGTTCATAGGCACTTTCGGTTAAATCTTGTACAAATGTTATTTCCTATTTTTTCGGCACGATGTGTTCTGTTTTGTTTGTATGTAAACCCAGTGTGTTTCAAATACATATCTAATGTAACAGAGGCTGAGATTAGTGTTCTGGACTTATCAGGCATGGCTAAACCGGAAGAAGGACCGATAAGGACTGTAACGGAAAGAAAACGATGAAAATTCCTCCTCAGCTTCTTTTTGTTGGACAGTACTGTCATTTGTTTGTTTCTTCTCCCTGTCGTGTATTTTAACCTTCGTTCAGATCTCGTTTAACCACACCTTTTGTTCTTCATTCTTCCTCGTCTGAGCTTTTATTACGTGATTTTGATCAAAGACTCATCTTTTGTTACCTAATTTTCTATTGCATGTTGCCGGACTATTGGCAGTAAGGTCGTGTTTGACTGAGCTCAAGGTCACGGCGTGATTCAGTGTGACTGTTAACCTTTTGATTGTCTGCTTGGGAGGGTTGCTGGAATCCCTGCAGATAAATATTTGATCCCATTTTGTTGGGAATATTTTTATTGATTCTCAGCGCGCTACTTTGCTTTAGAGAAACTTTTGACTGTATAGCACAGGCTGTACCGTTCGAGAACTGTAACAACCGAACTACCAGTATTCGGTTTGAACGCAGGACTGACGAACCAAAATGTATTCGAATAGACCAGACTACGCTCTTCTGCATAGCACACTGAGCAATTAAATTGAGCACAGAGTTTGTGTTTTGATATAATTTAATACGAGTGTCATACAGTTTTTATGCATTATTTGTCCAGTCGATAATTCACTGTTCTCCAATTGGCAGCATCATTACGTCGTATATTAATATGGCACATAGGCACAAGTTGTAACAATATGTATACTCAGACACTCTATCTAGTTTAAAGGTCTCTCTACCTACCGAGCTTCGAAATATGACCAGTAACTCCAGTAAAATACTAATATCACCAAATTCTAAACAAACCAAAATGTCGAAGTCTGTAATCCCTATGTTAGACGACTGAGTACCTGACAATGACAAGTCTTCATCTCTCGAACTTTACTCGTCTTATCCTCAAATATGACTGTCACTGTGTGACAACCCCTTTATCTCCTCACGCAATATGTCATCGGTAAGCCTGGTTAACATAAAAGGTTAAATACCCTTGTACACCAAAATGTCGACACAGTGTAACCGTCAGTGGTATTTACTAAGGAAGAAATCCAAAATTTCAAAGACCAATGAGTCTAATATATTTCACAAACATCAAAATACTGATCAGTATAGTACTGATACCCTTCACTTACAAAATTCTCTTGCAGTAACTAGCAGTATAGTCAACCAGTTAGCACCCCTCGCATATATATGAGCCCCTAATAATGACGAAATTCTTGGAAAGTTCACTAAAGTTGAGTATCTCTTAGGGTTTGTAGCTGGTGAAGTGTCTTTATCCGGTGAAACCGCGTACAATCTCCCGGACCACCGTTCACAAATTTGAGGGATATTTGCCCTATAGCATGAGGCATGCTAAACGTCAACTGCCAGGTCATCCACTTAAGAAGTTGGATAAATTGACATGCCCCCTTCCGTTTAAATCAAACTGTTGTAACGGTACTAAACAGCTTATTAATTTGAGTAAAAGTATTAGCTCATTAACTTTATATAGGGACATAAACGTCACTCCAAACGTAACACTTTGTCACCGTCATTTAAGAAGACGTGAAACGA